TCAGTGTACACTATACATCTTGGACCTGGACTTCATTGCTCGTTCCATCACTTTCATTTCGTTTGTCTTTGGCACTTTGCCTCATTTCTTTGAGCAGTCTAAATACTCTATTGCTTTCTTGGGTCAATAGAAAAACAGTCTTGAAAGCACATCAAAACTATTAACGTTTTCAATTAATAATAATTTAAAGAAATTAATTACTGCTCTCAAGACACTTAAGGTTTTTATTAAAGTAAGCTTGCCCAGAAAAGACTGCTCAAAGTTACATATTCATATCTTAATTTTGTACTTGTTTGGTTTTGAATTTTTTCATTTTAAAAAAAGCTTTTGTTTTTTTTATTGCTGCCATTTCTTTTTTATTTTCAGGGCATTAACCATTTGGTTTTCTGGATTATTTCTTAACTGCTTTGCCTTTTTGTTTGCTGTCCAATTTCGCTGTTCGCGTTTTGGTTACTTTCTGTATTTTTTAGGGACTGCACCTGTTGATGAGCTGCGAATGAGATTTGGCAAACACTGAGGATGATGAAGCAAGTCCCAAGAACAAGATGATGAGGATAGGGAAGTGACAGCTGAAGTGGCGTTTTATGTGCACAATTTTATGCTAATGCCTTGCCATGGAATTAGCAAACAAATCCACGCACAACTTTAAGCCAGTTGACACACACACACATTTGCTGGTGGAAAAAGAGGGGAGAAAGAGGGGCCAAAAAGGGTCTTCCAGGGAGACACACAAATAGAAAATATGAAGGCTACACTGGAAAAGAAAAACCAAAGTCACGGCCAATATGCAAATATAAAATTAGCAATTATTATCTATTATCATTGAATATTAATTTTTAAAATATTTTAATTTAGTAGTAGCTATTTATGTGTAAAATATATTCTAATCGAATTGTGTTTTGCTATGATATACATTTTTGGACATTATTTTTGTTTGATTAAATCATAATAGTTATTATCCATAACATATACATTTAGCAGGTGACTTAAATTTCTGTTTAAATATAACATTAATTTGTATTCATAGGTAGTTTTTTCCCCATGTACTCACTCCTGCAGCACAGGACGACTATCCGAAGGGGGGATTTCGAGGACGAGGGTGGGTGGGTTGAAGGGGGCCGAAAAGTGGGTGGTTGGGGGAGTGGGTGGTTCGGTGGTGCCACCCATCCAAAAGATCAAGTCGAGTCGCTAAGCCAGTTGGCACCAGTAACAATAACTTAACAGCCAGCAAACAAGGGAAATCTGCTGACGAGCTGGGATGGTGAAACCGCCCCCTCGGAGAACCTTTGAATGTAACATTTCAATTGAAAGGATTTACATTCTGTTGTTATGCTTTTCAACATTTTTGTTTTACAGCTAAGGTCGCCCAAAGACAAGTCATAATTGTGTGGTCTGCAGTTTCTGTTTTCGGATTTGGATTGGGATCTGGTAGGGCGACTTTGGCCCCATGGAAAACTCCAAATGGGTTTGTCAATGGTTTGTCAACGAGTTGTCTTTGGATTTATTGTGTGGGTGCGAATATTTTGAAAGTAATTGGGCAGTTGAGTGATGTTCTAAGTGCGAATAAATGTACTTAAGTGGCAGGGGGAATAAATAAGCATCTGGAATCAGGAATAAGATTTAAATATATATATATTTACCTATTTATTTAATTTATAATCGTGGACGCAAGGACAATTGCAGGCGATGCTGATCAAGCTTTAAATCCATTTAAATCCAATAGCTAAAAATGTTTATAAATTGTGTGTATCATTATGGGATTATTCTGTTGAATCGAGGGGCCGGTGGAACATGCAGTCCGCTGCCATTCGCACTTAATTGGCGAGTGATTCGGCGATGATTTAAATCCGCTCTCCTACAGCTTCCACGCTCCGCTGGCCATTAATTTGGCTCAGCCCAGCTCGCCTGGATTCATCTGAACTCGACTCGAAAATTTAGCCCCGGGCCGCTCGACTGATTCGCTCATTTATGCAGTTGCTTGTCTAATGGCATTTTAATTGTCTCATGCGAGTTTGCCAGTTTGCCAGTTCACCATTGCCATCATCGGCGTGCGCCACCTAGCGGCGGGCACTCGCACTCGCACCCGCAAAAGTTCCGCCCACAAGTTCGCAACAAGAAGTTTTTATTTCGAAAATAAACTCATTTTAAATACTTTTGCCAACAATTTGCCATAATTTGGCTCATTTCCTACAACACACGACGCTGCCAGCTTTGTCACCAGTGCACTGGTGGGGCTTCAGTGGGTTAAAGCGGGGGTGGAATGGGTTAAAGCGGTGACTACTGCAAACTTTTGCGTGTGCTGTGCTCCAGGGGGCGTGGCAGTCCCCCATCCTTTTGTTGCTTGCACATTTTGGCATTGTGTGTTAAGTTCTTAAGCGCTGCCAAAAACTTGAGCCCGTGCAGGCAACCCTAAGGCGGCAACCCCACAAATGACACGCCCCCTGCCCCCCGCCCCCGGCCGCTGCTTCCCGTCGCACATGAAATAGTTAAAGTGCGACAGTTGCGAGTGGGGCAGAAACGACCCCGAAGAGACCCTCTAACAAACCAGCAAAAAGGATGGCAATCACAGGATAAGGTATATATGTGAGTAAAGATACTGCCAAAATGCTTAAGAAAACCCTTTAAAGTATTTTCTCATTTCCAAAAATTAATCACAATTATATCTAATATTTTTTTGTATCAGATTAATTTCTTTTATATTTTGAAAATAGTCAAAGAAATTATACTTTCTGGTTTTTTTCGTTCAGACTGCTTTTTTCTCATTTTATTTTTGTAACTTAAGGTACTGTAAATAATCCTCTGTGGCTGACTTTTTACACCAAAATCCACTGGGAGCACCAACAAATACTTTATTTATTAGGCAAATTTTAGCCAGGTGAACTTGGGCCATCGCAGCTATATTTATTACGGCGCATTCCAGGGTATTGGGCTCCGAAAGTGCCGCCTATGCAGTTGTAACAAGGTAGGTGGTTGGGTGGTGCACTTGCTACTTTATTACAGGCCAAAAACCGAGTCCGGCGGAAGGAGAAGAAGGAGACATCTCATTCTTGTCTAAGGTCCCGTCGTTTTTTGGCCTGCTTGCATAATTTCCCAAAGAGAAGCAACAATTGGGGGTGGCAGGGGGTTAAGCAAGGGCAGGGGTGGGTTAAGCACAGCAAGAAAATATGTAATCCAAGCACCAAATTAATATTTATTAGTACAAGCAAATGATATTCCTTTTTTTCTTTTCAGAATCACTAATTGTGTTCGGAGAGGAATGCGATGTATGCTTTATTTATAGCTGTAATAGTTTGTTTTATGTCACAAAAGGTCAAAGCTTATCTATAAATTAAATAGTCTCTAAAATACATTGTTTTTAATAAAAATAATTTTATTTGTCAACAATATAAAATACATTTATTTTTTTCTCTGTAGTTGACTGTGTCTGGCTTTTATAGATATATATATATATATATATATATGTATGTATTGAACCATCTATCCGGCAGACACAAGGGTTCACTTCGGAAGAAGTTAGGAGCCCAAGTTGAAAGGAAAAAGGGACCAAAAGGAGCCGGAAACAAAACGTAGGATAAGGGCAGGGATAAGGGGAGGGGGAAGGGGGGGCCAAACAATGGACTCCCTTATGTCTTCAAAAATTACATTTTAAGTTCTGAAATTACAATACAAAATTGAAATATCTTATTTCAGCGCTGCAGTTGGAGGCAATTTTTCATGCGTATAAAGGGGGACAACGGCAAAGGACGCAGGACTCAACACGAAGGACGAAGGACGAGCAGCTAACGAGCCGCATGGCAGACAAAACTTTGCTGAATTTATCAACGAGCCCTCGTGTGTGTATCTGTATCTTTTGCATTTATGAAAATGTAATAATAACAAAAGACGCAATGCAGACGCGGCAGAAGTAAACTGGAAACAAACATAGGACCTTCAGGATATGCAGCATATGTGTGCGTGGCAACCCTAGACAAACATATGGCTCACCGAATGCACAATGTATCTGCATCCGCAACTGTATCTATGTCTCCGTCTGTGTCTGCATCTCGCCAACTTCGGCTAACAAAATTTGCAACTTAAAAAATTTGTCAAAACAAATTATCATAAAATGCTCATCAGTCGCGGGAAAATAAAACAAGGAAAAAGAAAGAATCTCAGAGAGGCCAAACTAAAAAAACTTGCGCATATAAGATGAGAAAGTCCCCTGTGAAATGTCAATAATAAGTGTTTTAAATATAGATTAATTAAGATTCCGAATTTAGGAAGAGTTATGGCATACAAAATGAAAATACTCTTTATTACTCGTGTCGTAAAACGCAAATTTAGTTAACGGCACTTAGAAAAATCATTTACCAAATCAACCTGTAATTGATTGTATAGATTCTCAGCTGCACTAATTAGTCATTCTTTTGGCGAAGTTTGAACCAAAAACTAAAATAAATATACCTAATTAAAAACTACTCTTAACTAAAACGAGTCAACAAGTGGATTCCAAAGAAATTCCAGATTCCAAAGCCACATACCTAAAGAAAATATCGGGCTGCTTGGCAGATTTTTCTACAGGTTGTCTTGGACAATTTGGCCACGCCCACTCTAACGCCTCCATGTTGTGAAATTCTGTAAAAAAATATCCTTATCCAGATCATTTCCCCAAACTCCCTTACATACCCATCAAAATGGCTGATCTTTTTAAATACGCAATTTAATAACAATGGCAAACGGCATCCGAATGAAAAGTAAAGCGGAAACTTGCATAGTCCCCATCGTTTATAAAGGGAGTGCAATTGAATGAATGTTTCCCGGGGTCCGGATTTGGGATTCCGTATTCAGGATTCCGAGTTCTGGCGGATTGGAAGCACCCAAAAATACCTTACCAACCCTCTCCACTTATCCGTATTTATGTTCCTAAATAACGCAGAGCTGTTATAAAATAATCTCAATCACTTTATCAAATCTCCCATTTCATCAAATGAAAACAAATTAATACCAGACAGCATTAAGAGTATAGTATAGATTTCGTATTTTTTATTAATATTAAAATATTTCATACTTAAACAGTGCGACTTATAAGGACTTGGGCCTTATCATCATTTCGACAAAGGTAAGTGATACAAACCAATTTTTATGCCATGAAAACCAAATAATTCCATTCGAACCTTTGCCATCTTTGAAGTATTCTCCATTTAGCGCACTGTAATTTTAAGTGATTATAGTAAGAAGTTTTAATAAGAGCATAAATAAACAGGTATACCTATGTGAACAGTAATCGTTCCACCATGCACCATCTCTAAAGGCACAATTGAAATCATTGATATTGTCATTATCCCGATCAAATGTGGAGAACTTTTGGTTCTTACTGGCTGAAAGGGAGTCTCCGGCTGTACCATAATAATTGCCTAGATTCTTCAACTTGTACAATTCCTCCTCACTCCCAATCTTAAAGTCATCGTATTGAGCGTAACTGGTGGATCCATCAACACTCCCAAGTTTAATGTAGAGTTCGTGGGGTCGTGCCTCAGTCATCCGATGCAATTTTTCCAGCCCGATGAAGAATTCTCTACTGACATTCCCAAATCCAGATTTATAGTCATTCCAGGTTCTCTCGAAGTTCTCGGATCCGTCAATGCGTCTCTGAATTACTGTATAACCAGGTGGAGACGTCGCACATGGCGCTTTAAAGGGTTCAAGACCCGGAAGCTTTATTTGGTAAATCCCATTGGGACTGCCATTGGGACAAATGTCAGGTAAATTGTCATCAGTTTTCCGACATTCCGAAAGCTGAGTAGATAGTTCTGATTTTGTTTTCTCAATCGCTTGAATTTGAGTCGTAAGGGTCAAAATATGTTCATCTCTATTTTTAAGGTGCTCCTCTTTCACCTTTAAAATATCTTCTTTGCTTTTGATTTGACCTTCGGATATTTTTAACTGACTCTGAAAGTCTTTTATGGAATCTTTCAAAGTATTTACTTGGATTTTCAGTTCATCGTTTGCATCGGCTGTTATTTTCATCTGTAATATAGAACAGGCGATAAAATAAAAATCATTGCATTCGTTTTCAATATTCTAATTAGTTGGTTACTGCAGTAAATCTTAAATGAGCACCAAAAAGTTTATGTTCTGATGAAACAATGTAAAAATTTTAAAATACCCGGAAAAATGGCAGCGTTAATTTAAATAGTAATGTTTAAGGGGCTGAACAAATTATTCTTTACTTTTGTGCTTTTTTTACATGCAATTTACATATAATCAGGGATAAGCACTTCTGATAGGAACGCCAAAGGATGTCTGTCTATCCGTAACTCACCGTCCTAAGTTCCTCCATTCTGTTCAATCCCACATCCAGTTTGGCCTGCAGAGCCTTAATTGAATTCGCGAAGTCTTTTTTTGTGATGAGTTCCTGCAGTTGGTTCTTCATTCCGGACTTCAGATCTACTTGTTCTTGCGCCGTGGTCATCCACGAATCTTTAAGGGCTGTCTGACCCGCCTCGATTTCATCCAACCTTTTTCGGATATTGCGAGAATGGTCGAAAAGCGGGTTGAGTGCGGCCAGGCAAAAGGAGCCACACTGTCTTGGTTCATCTTGGAGAACACAGAACGACTGATCCTTTGAATTGAACCCAATTCCTCCTTGTACACTTGGAAAAATTAATAAGCCAAGCAAATAGGACAATAGCATCAACATTTTAAGATGTTCGACCTACTCGAAACGAATTTAAAAAGTGTACTGAAATGTAGCTTTTGGTTGAAGAAACAACGAAGCCTAGAATATTAGAAAATATAATATATTCTTATCGTGGCCGTCCAAGTCTCACATCCGTCTGCCAACAATTGCATAAACCCTAATCACCAAATATGAATATGTATGGACTAGTCCATACACTAGCATATAAATAGAAATCAGCCAATGTTCTTATCGCTTATCGCTTAAGTGTGACCCAACTTAAGGGTCAACTAGAAATTCCCGTTTAAGCCTAAGGTGGAAATGTGATTAAATTGAACTTGCCCTGAAAGGAAAAACACTGAGAGCACTGCACCGAAGTGAACTTAAATAAGCCCGTGTGGGGGGCTTACTTCTGGACTACAGAAAGTACCCATTATAAGGTACTCCGTGTGCATGTTCCCCCTCGCAAGCAAATGAAACTCCAATTAGCAGCACAAATCAAAGTCAGACAGTTTCGTTCGGAGGACAAGTGGCATCATGAACGTCGGGAAATGGAACCAGAAACCAGGGGCCAAGCCAAAAATAAAATATAAAAATAGAATAAAGTTACAAAAAAGTTAAAGCCGCGTGTCCAGAAAAGTTGTGGGCATTAAATTGATAGAAACCATGGAAAAGGGGGGAATGTCGGGTAAAAAACAAACAAATATTGGAAGGGGTACTTTCGGGGGGCTTGAGAGTTTGCTGCGATATTTTGCCTTTGATAGAAAAACAATTTTTCTACTCCATTTCACGCGTTCAAGGCAGAACCATAAAAGCTGGCCAGAAAGAGAGGGGGAAACTCGGTCAGAAAGAGAGGGGTGTATGGGGGAGTCGTCAGCGTAAAGATGCCGCCAGACCGATAAACGCTAGAAATGAAATAACAATAAAAACCAATTTTTTATATCGAACACCAAACTGAAGTTAAGCCCTCTCTTTCTCGCACACACACACACACCCACTCTCTCTCTCTGTCTCCTTCTCCCCGGTGAAAGTTGCAGTTGTGTGTGTGTGTGTGTGTATGCGTGTTGACCCAATTTACTTTGGCCTTGCTGCTGTTACCCTTCACTGGTTTCTTGCAGTGTACAAATTTCGATTTGTAAACAACATTTCTGCCAAAATGCTAGAATATCACAGCATTAGACAGAATTATTGTGAGTTAGGGATGCGAGAAAATTTCGATTTCAAGAATAACAATAAAGCTAAACGGATTTTCTCAAATTTGGTTTAAATTGGGTAGCGATTTTAAAAACATATGACTTTAAATATTGCATCTTACTAATTACTTATTGATAGAGAATTGGTCTGTGTATATACAAATCTAAGCAAATATAGTTGATTGGACGAAGTAATATTTGTTTCGATTGCATATTTTTTTGGTACAAATTTTAATTTGATATATATTTTCAGGTTGCAGTCAGCATTTAATGGTGCTGAATAATTTAATATTTAAAGTCTTTGTGATATATTTTTCCTTTTTTCGGCCCACATCTGCACGGTTTGAGCTTGTGCGCTATTAGCAACTCAATTAATTCATAAAGGGAAGCAGCCCATCCGAAAGATACAAATGTATCTACAAGTTCATTAGTTAGAACCTGCTGGCTTAATTTTATTCCACACACTCGCACACTTTGTTCTCGGGACGGGTTTATTTTTCAGCCCCTTCTACCCGAAATGAGCTCTAAAAACTTTTGTCAATAAAAGAAAACATCAACAAATAAAAAAGAGGCGAGTTAAGACGGGTTTTGGTCGATGCTTCTATTTGTTTGTCTGTTTGCTGACCAAATGCGGAGGCTGCCGTTTTATTTTTTTTTTTTTGGGAGTGGCTTTAAGGGGGCACAAGTGGCAAACGGGGGGGTGGCAGATGTTCAAAATGGGGAAAGGAGGGGGAAAACGTGGCGCCCAACGAACGGATTCCAATTGACCTACAGCGCGTTCATTTGAAGTTCAAAACTTGACCATGAAGTGGCAGATGCTCAGCGGAAATCAAAACCGAAACTGTGAGCAGGGGATTCATCCGAATGCCCACTTGTGCTAAGGTCGATGATGGGAATTACCCAGAAAAATTAGAGTCATTCAAAATAGTTAGCAAGTCAGCCAAAATACATTTATTGGCTATTATTATACGGCATTTAGCAGAACATTTACATCATTTGCTGAAATTTATAATACTTAAAAGCACTTGAATGTTTTTGTAAGTCACATCCAAAGGATTAATTTCTCAAAATTAAGAATATTTTAAAGAAAATAATTTAAATGAATAAAAATTATGTAAATTATGTAATTATAAAAATGATGTAACGATTTTAATATTTTTTAGAAATATTGGTAAAATATTTAATTTGTTTGGGAACATGTATAATATTTGTAATATTTTAAAATTGTTTGAACACAGTTATGTTATTTTAACAAATGGCATGTGTTTATTACAAAAAATGTCTACCAATCAATTTATTAAAATCTTCGTTTATATAAGCACCATTTCACCGATGGGCTTTCTCTGTTCGACGGGAGAGTCTTAAGTGATTCAAATATATACCCGGATAATCAAGTAAGCCTTTCTCTCCGTGTCGAAAATCCCCCCAAAGAGAAACCGTCTAGTGATAAGGGAAATCAAAAAATAAAAATTTACCATTCGAACTTGTGATCGAAACAGAAAAAAACCAACGTCGAAAAGTGATCAGCCAAAGTGGTTGCTTATCGTCCCCCTGCGAAACGAGTAAAACGAGAATTTTGTTTTTATTTCGGGGGTCTGTCGCACCGAACAATAGGCATATTGACGGTTGGACGTCAAGTCGGGCGTTAATTATTGATTAGTTTAAAGCCCGATTAACAAACCGGCAACGGGCTTAGAACGAAACGGAACGTCCGACGCCCAACAACTTCAATCGCGCTCTCCAAAAACGTGTTTAAAAACCCGAAAAATCCAGAGAGGTACACGGAGAAAAATTATATTATTCACAACTTTTTTTTTATTTGTTTTGTCAATCATTTACGATTACGTTTTTTAACAAAGACATTAAACACTGGAGGAATATGGCCATCTTAATATATGTTTTACCTAACTAAAGCAATGATCTTTAATGAGTCAACTAAAATATAAAATAATGAAAACAAAATAAAAGATAATAAGAGTTGAAATACATTCAGCAACATTGAAAAAAGTCCTTGAAAAACAATATTTATTTGATGGTGTAAAAATAATAGGTAAATAAATCGGAACAAAAAACACATATTGATAAGTGGCTGTATTACACACATATGCAGAAGGTTTTTATGCAACCGAAATGTTTTTGCCGATGAAACAAAAAGTTTAAGTGCTAAGGGTCATTTCATTTCTTTATTGGGGAAAAAATAATTTTTTTCAGTGAAGTGAGAGCGGAAGAGCTGCGGAGAAGAACCGGCGGAACAGCAAACTGAACAGCGGACCGCAGAAAAACACGGCGGAGAGACAATAAAAGTCGGCCGGCGGCCAAAAGCGCGCTCATTGCGTGCGCTGTTTTCGCAACGGCAACGGAAAATTAGCCACCCAGTTGAGGTGCGAGCAGGACGGCGTGTGTACGGCAGAGGAATACGGATTTTCAGAGTACGGGTAGTACGAAAATTACGGGTGTACGGAAAACAGGAGGACGCAGGAGAACGGATACGCAGCCAGGATGCGACACGCATTTGTTGGATTAATTGTGTGCTGGCTGGCAGTTTGTCAACCGCAAGGTAAATATTTTTGAAATACGCCATGGCGCCGGGAATCGGGCATAGACAGGATAATGACAGGATATATACCCCCACGCACACACACACACAACATACACATTCGCCCCCACACAGACACACACCCACACGGTCCTTTGTTATTACAGCAATAATTGCAAAATTATCGCTGGATTTTGCGCCTACGTGCGTTGCATTGTCAACAGAAAAACAGTGGAAAGTGTTCTTTCACAAATGGGGAGAGAGGGACGGAAATACAGGAAAAGAAGGAGATGGGTAAAGAGGTAGAAGCGGCATCAAAGGCCTAAAGGCTTATCCGTGTTCTTACCGCCTTTTAAGCCATATTATTTGGGAAACACGAGGCATGTGGAGGATCAGTGGGCTGCATATAGAATATCAGCTGAACAAAAATTTCTATAACCGTTTTCATTTCAGTATTTAAGTATTTACTACTTAAAATCTAGTAAGGACAAGCGAAAGGGGTTTATGGTTTTTCATTACTTATAAATATATATATTTAAATATAATGTTTCCATTGTGATAAACACATTATTCATTATCTTTAAATCGAAATTAATGAAAGATAACAAATAAGAAGAAATCCATTTAATAAAACAGTTAATAAGAAAAAATCTGTATGCAAATTGGTCTTAAAACATACTCAACTCTTGTTTATAATTCCAACTTCTAATGAGAACGTAATCCAAATATATTAAAAATTGTTTTTGGGACTGTCTAAAATCGAATGACGAAAAAGACAGAGAAGACAGTAACCTCCATCTATTTGACTGCCAATACCTGTTGTCAGATAATTTTAAATAAACAAAATCTTTCTGATAAACCTGTTAGAGATCTCCCCACTTTCATCTCTTTTTCGCATTCATCCATCTCTTTCGTTTCTGTGCTATCTAACGCATAAAAACGAACAATACTCAAAAGCTGTGGCGGAATAAAATACAATAAAATGGTATGTGTGGAACAAGTTTTGCGAAAAGATTATAAATGCATCGCGTTAGGGATTTGTGTTTACTTTTGACTGCTGTCAGGGCAACTTGTGGAACTTTCCACTGATGTGTGTTACCACTGTTTATTCTCGCTTTAGTAGCAACTAAAAAGGATGAAATGTCATTGCCACTGACAATAGCATAAAGTCAAAAACCTTTTAGAAAGCAATAAATTGGAATGCTCTGCAGTTTTCGTGAAACGAACTAAACAAATAACAAAATAAATAAATTAGAAAAAAAGCTTACATACGTGGTCAAATCAAGACATTTAAATACTGAATGACGAAATGCTTTTAGTTTAAGATTAAGAATACATTTTTTTATTGCCACTGAAGTGTTTTACAGAAAAAATATACAAAAATTATGGCAGAGCTTATATGAAAGACATCAAGGCGTATGAGTATTATTATTACTAATACGCAGTATATGACGGAGGGTTTAGTATTAGAAGTCAGCTTTATTTAAAAACAACATTTTTTTAATAAGCATGAAAGTGTGTCTTTGAGTCAAAATACTGTAATTTTTGAGTTTCAGAAGGTATCATAGTAAATTTATATGAAAGACATCAAGGCGTATGAGTATTATTATTACTAATACGCAGTATATGACGGAGGGTTTAGTTTTAGAAGTCAGCTTTATTTAAAAACAACATTTTTTTAATAAGCATGAAAGTGTGTCTTTGAGTCAAAATACTGTAATTTTTGAGTTTCAGAAGGTATCATAGTAAAGACAACACGGCGTATGGGCAATAAGATTACTAATACGCAGTGTATTGCGGAAGATTTTTAGTTTTAAAGGAAGAGCAGTGTAGTAACAATGCAATACAGTATTTTTTGAGCCTCTGTCTAAACACATTGAAGGTCATTGTGTCAGTGTTTCTGATGGTATCAACGTAAAGACAATAGGGCGTATGGGTAATAAGATTACTTATACGCAGTGTATTGCGGAAGATTTTTAGTTTTAGAGGAAGACCAGTGTAGTAACAATGCAATACCGTATTTTTTGAGCCTCTGTCTAAACATATTGAAGGTTATTGTGTCAGTGTTTCTGATGGTATCAACGTAAAGACAACACGGCATATGGGCAATAAGATTACTAATACGCAGTGTATTGCGGAAGATGTTTAGTTTAAAAGGAAGAGCAGTGTAGTAAAAATGCAATACAGCATGTTTTAAGACTCTGTCTAAACATTTAGAAGTTAATTGTGTCAGTATTTCTGATTGTATCAACGTAAAGACAACACGGCGTATGCGCGATAATGTTAAGTAAACACAGTATATAGTATGAAGAACAGTCAGGCTATCAATAAATACTAGCTTGGATTTAATGCTTCCGCTAACTTTTATTTTTGTACATATTTTTAACAGCCGAGGCGCAGTTAGGAGGCTTTGGGTTCCAGCCGCAGTTGCAGCCGCAGTTCGCCTACCAGCAGCCGCAGTTCGCCTACCAGCAGCCGCAGTTCCAACAGGTATACCGCCAGCCGCAGCAGGTGTATCGGCAGTACCAAAACCAACCACAACCTCTGGTCTATTACCAACAGCCCCGCCAGCGACAGGGATCCGTCTCGAAGGCGAACACGAACGCCTACGAGCGGCAGGTGGACTTCGGCAACAACTTGGAGTACACCCAGGGCCTGTCCAACTCGCGGGCGGTGACCAAGCAGAATGGGCAGCGCGTGGTGACCAAGAGCCAGGCGCAGACGAGGGACGTGGACCTGGGCGGCCTGCAGCTGGGCAACACGGTGACCAGGACCCGCACGAACGCCAATGGGCAGGTGTCGCAGGGCATCGCCGACCAGGTGAGGATCGGAAACGTGGGCCTGGGTGCCTCGCTTTCGCCCCAGAATCTCCAGAACGGCTTCGGCCTGCAGCGCGGCGCCGATGGTGACCTCCGCCTGGGCCTGGGCTTCCTTAACCTCGACCTGGACCGCAACGTGGCCAATCCGAACACCCTGGCCCAGGCCCAGGTGAATGCCCAGGGCAAGGGCGCCAAGGCGGGATCGAACAGCAATACGCAGTCGAACACGCAGCAGTTCGGCGGCGTCACCGTCACCGACACACGGGCCAACTCGAATGCCTTCGGCAAGACCAGGAGGGGCCAGACGTCGGCCACCACCGGCGGCTTTGGCGGCAATGCGGCCACCAACGGCCAGAGCTTCGGCGGTCCCTTCCAGCGGCTGGTGCGCCAGCCCCAGGTGTTTGGTGTCCGGCAAAAGAGGAGGGCCCAGTTCGTGCCCTTCGGCTACCCCGGCGGCAACTTCGGCCGGGGACCCTTTGGCCTGGGGCCCCTTGGCCTGGCTCTCGACCGGCCGAGGAGGCAGTTCGGCGGCGGCTTCGGCGGCGGCGGCTTCGGAGGATTCGAAGGTGGTAAGTCTGGCAGCTTATCAAGGTAGCTTAGTAATTTATTAAGATAGAACCTCCCTCTATACGAGTACTTAAAGGAAACATCACTGATCGTCTTCAATATAAATATAAATCACCTAGCTCTCTAGATGAATACGACTAAAAACATTTAACATTTAAAGAAATATTTCACAATAATAGCATTAGATACTCACTCCAAAAATGCCATCTTTTTTAAAACTTTCCTATGAATATACTTTTTTTTAATGATTATTGATTGTAATGAAGCATATATTTTCAAAAAATAATGTAATATACAAATTACATTTTTAAAATAATTGTAGTAGATGCATACGCCATTTTAAAGAGTAATTTGTTAATCAGTTTTTAAACATTCCTTAAAGGATATACATTTTTACTGATTGCGAAAATTCCTGTTTAGCAAATAAGTGTGTACAACATGGCGTATGCGTATTGTATGTACATAACTCATACGCAGTGTGTAATTATTTTAGACGAAGGATAGGTTTTGAGAGTGGATGAGAAAATAGTTATGTTAATTTGAAATTCCGTTAGACTGTATATTAACTACTTTTGAACTCCCTTCAGGCCCTGAATATGGCGGTGGTCCCCAGTTCGGTGGCGGTGGTCCTCAGTTCGGTGGCGGTGGTCCCCAGTTTGGCAACGAATTCTACGAGCAGCAGCCCCAGCAGCAGCAGCAGCACCACCAGCAAAGGAAGAAGGGCAACAAGAACCAGGCGCATGGCAACGCGCAGGCCCACGGAGGACCCGGGTTCAACCAGCAGGCCTCGACGAACAACCATGCGAGTCCCGGGAACACGGGCAGCAGCTCGATCAGCTCCAACCTGGCCATGGACGGCAGCAGCGGACAGGTGAGCTCCGCCAACACAAACACCCACCAGGGCCAGACCGCGAACGGGGGCTTCGAGAGTGGCCAGAACTCGCAGAGCCAGGCGCTGAACTTCAAGCCCGGCCAGCAGCAGGCCTCCAGTGCGAACGCCAACACCGGCCACACGCAGCAGGGCGATCGCGACACCTACACCTCGAACAGCGGGTCCACGTCGACGAACAACAACCAGTTCGGCTCCTCGACGAACACGGCCAACACCAACTCGCAGGTGACCAAGGAGGGCAACCGGGAGGACGCCACCAGCGATGCGAACAGCCAGAGCATCTTCCAGGGCAACAATGGCCAGGGCGACGCCACCGCCCAGACCAATGCCCAGACGAGCAGCCAGCAGGGACCCGGCGGATTCGTGACCAACTCGGCCTCCAGCAGCGCCACCGCCACCGCCCAGAACGGCCAGTCGGCCAATGCCAATGCGAACGCGAATGCAGGTGGCTTCGGGAATGGCGGTGGTGCTGGCGCGAATGCCGGCGCCAATGGCGGTAACTTCGGTAATTTCGGCGGTGGCGGCGGTGGTGCCAATGCCAACAGCAACGCTTTCGGCGGGGACTTTGGCGGCTTTGGATTCTTCGGACGTTAGTTTTACACATTTCTTAAGCAACAAACACACACTTTTTTTTTGTCACCCACGAAAAGCACGAGAATAAAACTGCATTCTATTAATTTAAAACAAACTTTAAGCACCTTGGCGTTAAATGATTACACTTTTTAAACAGCTTACTTACTCATTACTTGTTGAATATTGTTCAATGTTTTTGAATGATGTTTAATGTTGTTGAATGTTGTTGAATGTTGTTGAATGTTGTTGAATGTGGTTGAATGTTGTTGAATGTTGTTGAATGTTGTTGAATGTTGTGGAATTTTGTTGAATGATGTTTAATGTTGTTGAATGTTGTTGAATGTTGTTGAATGTTGTTGAAAGTTGTTGAAAGTTGTTGAAAGTTGTTGAATGTTGTTGAAAAATCTTATATGTTGTAGAATGTTAATCAATGTTGTTTGATGTTGTTGAATGTTGTTTAATATGGTTAAATGCGGTTGGATGTTGTTAAATGTGGCTAAAATGTTGATATAAATCGAAGGGGGGAAACATGGAATGTTTTGTTTTATGTTATATTGGGCCACTTTAAAAGCATTTCAATTAAAGTGAATCCATTCCAACCCGTAGTTCGGCATCGTGCTCAGCAACAGATTAGACTGCAGCGCTGGGGGCCACGCCCCCAAAACGGCACTTCGTCCAGGACCTCTTCGATAAACGATAACTTTGAGTATGTGTACTTTAACCACTCGTCGTCTCGCCTGGAGGATTTTCAGCCTGAAAGCTCGGGGAATTCTAGGCAGGACTTGGAGGACGTTGCACAATCACCACTCAACACATCGGTGGATGCCTTCGGACCCTACGATAGTACCCAGCGGCAAGGCCGCACCTTCAGCTTGATCTACGACTGGATCAGTGGACTCTTCAACTCCTGCGTTTCGCCCTGCACGTTGGAGGCCTTCCAGAAGCAGACCTGCTGTGAGACCTATGTGGTGGATCCCTCTTATCCGCCACTCCCGCCCCCGCCCCCACCACCACCGCCTCAAACTTGCTGTGCCCCTGTAAGACCCCCCTACCCACCTCCACCGCCACCCAGACCACTGCCACCGCCCCCACCCATGCCCCTACCCCCTACCCGCCCGTCTATCCCAATAAGAAAACGCCCGTGGTGGTGGTGGCCACGCCCATCAACTGCTGCACCGTGTGCACATATACCTACTACGGACCACCGCCCTGTGGGCGGTTTTACAACAACGGCAGCAGCAGCGGGGGCGACGGCAAGAAGGTCACCATCTATGTGCCGCCACCCTACTATGGTCGCTAGAAAATACAATACAGCCTTCTTAGTCCATAATTGCACACAGTTCTTTTCTATAAGTCCCTTTTTTTTGGCCATGCAAGCTTAAAATAAAACAGAAAGTAAATCATTTAAATGCCATGAGTTTCACTTGAAGGCGTATTGACAAACATAAACAAGAAATGTTTTGTTTTAAAGAAGAATTTCTTAAAAAGTGAAAACTAGTTGCCAAAAAGTGAAGCAATAAAAGATAAAAAAATCGCCAAATGTGGAGAAGTTTTGGTTCTTATTGGCTGTAAGGGAGTCTCCTGCTTCACCAGAATATTTCCCTAGATTCTTCAACTTGTAGAATTCCTTTTCAATCCCGATCTTAAAATCATCGTATTGAGCGTAGCTGGTGGATCCATTAACCTTTCCAAGTTTAATGTAGAGTTCGTGGGGCTTCGGTTTTTTAATCCGAGCCCTGGGACAAAAGGTTTGAATATTGAAATGTCATACCTGAATTTGTTTTTTAATTGGAATGTAAAACAAAAAACGGCGACAGAAACGACAGCGTTTTACTTTTTAACACGGAAATGAAAGACTTTTATTGTTATTATAAAACACACTCTTTTGCCACACTGACAACGAAGTGTAGAAAAGAACTAAATAAATTAGCTATAATTTTTATGTTAATGAAAGTATTTGCTATTCCCCATAAAGGGGCGAATTCCAGACACTTTTTACCCATAAAGGCCCAAAAGTATGCCGTCAAATATTTCTTGCCGTACTCTTTAAATGTTACGAGGTTATAGATATTTCTGGAATGCTCTCTCTCTTGAATGAAAGTATTTTTAATTATCATCACCCCATTCAGTTCAAGCCAATTGTGAGTGCACTTATTAATTCGTAAAATGAAAATAGCAGAATGTGCTCTTAAAGCTAAAAACGGAAGGCTTTTGAGTGTGGCAATATTTTTACCGTATGTCTGTCCCGTGAGATCCCTTTGTTTTGTTTGTTCTCCGCCTGGCTAATTCGGAAAACGCTTGCATAATCTCAGTGGGGTGGGGAAGGGGGTTGGGGGTGGTGCTTTGTTGCTTGGGGGAATCCTGTCAAAAATGCGGCAAATAAGACACAGGACAGGGCAAGCGGGGGGGGTGTGGGGTATATAGGTAGCTGCACTCGGAAAGAAATAAAGTTTTGATACCCTTACCAACCAGAAAAAAGTTCTTTCGAAATTAAAGTTCTTCTTCAAAAATGTATGGTTAAAAAATCATAATAATAGTTATTTTTAATAATAGAAAGTATGGTATATTTATTGGCTCTTAAAATAAATGTTGGTTGGTCTCTTACTGTTTTTTCAGTTCTTACATTAAAATATTCTATTCAACAAAGATCTTATTTTTATTTTAATATTTTTTTGTATATTTCCCAGTGTATCTTAATATATTTTTCGATTCGTAGAATGTGGTTTTCAAGGCCTTGGCAAGAGACTTTCTGAAATGGATCTCAGGACATCCCCTAGTCGTAGTCCCAACTCGAAAATGGCAGGTTAACGTGTCCCATCTTTGTGTCGCTTTTGTTGTGCGGCCGCCTTTCTTTGGGCCTCTTGTGCCGTTGACTTTTGCGCCTAAGCAAAATTTGTGCCATGTGTTTTGTGGCTGCTTTGTTTGTTGGCTCAAATTTGTTGGCAGCCTGCCACACGAGGACTCTTTGGGCTGCGACTCGGACTGGGACTGGGACTGAAACAGGGATCGGGACACCGAAACTGAAACTGAAACTGAGACCGAGGTTGAGGCTGAGGCCGAGGCACAGACAGGACATGTCACGTCAGCGGCACAAAGCCCAAACACAAAGGCCTGATAACTGCAGTCGCCTGATAAGCAGCGCCCCAAACAAGGATCTCCAGTCCCCGCAGCGACACTGGAAAAAATGTACTGGTGCTTTAAACTCGGGGAAACCATTGACTTAAACTTCTCACCAACAATCCAAGTATTTTTTCCACCCCAAAAGGTTAACCTTTCAACTTGAAATGTAATTACAGAACGACCATTTAACATATGTTTTTTATCACAATAGTTTCGTCAAATTAGGCATTCTACTTAGATTTTAATAACCCCTGTTAATTTCAGTTGATTAAGTATTCCCATTTAAATTATCCCATAAGGTATTCTTTGTAAATTATAGGATTTTTTGTAATATTCAGTCATTTTAAAAATGATGATCAACATTATTTGCTGTGCTACACAACTTCAGACTTTTTCTTTCAAAAGAAGAAGTAAGCAAAAATGCTGATGAATATATTCGAAATTTTCCATTCACTTTTTGGTCTGCCTTCAATTTTGTATACTCTGTTGACCTCTCTCACTGGGAGTTTTCTGCCGAACTGGCACCCCGCCCCGATTTCTGCGAGTGTAGCCTTTTTTCCAGCAGACCCACTAGAGACCCTTCACCACCCGGAAGCACAAGTCGCCCCTTTTGTCATTTCGCTCATAACGTTAATTTATATTCAGTTCAGTCTAAAAAAAAAAAGAATAGCCAGTGGTAGTAGTAGGAGGTAGTGTGTTAGGAAGTGGTACAGTGAAGCCCGTGTGACAGCCATCGAGAGGAGAGAGGGGGATGGAAAGGGGGTGGGGTCCTGGATCGGGGGACCGGATCTGCAGCCTAGTTGTAGAACTGCTGGCGACGGCGCAGCGCAGGGGCGGCGGCCACGAAACGACGTCCGGAGGCCACTCCTCCTCCGGAGGAGGAGCCCTCGCCGGCGGAGTACAGGAGCAGGGGGATCTCCTCCACGCTGGTCTGCTGCTGCTGCTGCTGGGCGGCGGAGAGGCGGCGCAGGGCGGCGGGGGGTGGCTGCGGGGGCGGCTGCGGGAACGGCGGAGGCGCCATCCAACAGCTGATCCTCATCGTTCTCCGGCTGCTCCAGCACCAGATCCTCGGGCTGGGCCACGGCGATGCTGTTGCCCACCGGGGTCTCGCCCTCGTTGTCGGCGCCGGAGATGGAGCTGCTCTGGAGCAGGGCCTCGATGTTCTCCAGGTTGGTCAGTCCGTTCAGCTGCAGCTGGTCGTGCAGCTCGGCGGGAATGGCGATGGCCTGGACGTCCTTGTGGCCGGAGATGCCGTTGGGCGTCGGGATGAACTGGACGTTCTCGGGGATCTGGTCGGTGGGGTAGACGGGCACCAGCTCGGCCTCGTTCTCGTTGCTCGACTTCAGCAGGATGAGGGAGATGGGCACGATCTTCTTGAACTTCAGCAGCACCAGCTTCTTGATGGCCACGGCTCCGGGGAAGACGCGTCCCTGGGGCCCACTGTGCGGCTTCGCTATGAGCGCCCGCTGCTCGTAGTGCTGCCTACGGTGGCCACTCACGTGACGGGCTAGTGGGATACAAATTTGATTTTAAATTAAAGGGAAATTGGAATAAGAATTTGTAATACTGTGGTATAAGTCCGCTTAATCAAAACAGTACAGTAAATCAAATGACAAAGACATGAGAAGAATGCCAGTATAGATATATAAGTCCGTAATATTCAGGAAGATTTCTTGGAATTTAATCAGTGATTAAATCCAACAAAATATAATAGATTTAATGAATGGAGAGTTTTCTATTAATCAGTAACCGCACGATAATTACGACTTCCCAGCGAATATTCGATTATGATGGGACTTTCAGAAGCGAACAAAGATCATCTGAGATCACGAACTCACCTTCGCAGACGGCCAAGATTGCCAGGCCGATGGCCAAAAGGGCTACCAACTTAATTGCCATAATGATGGGATCTGGAAACTGCGGACTTGGACTTGGGATTGGACTTGACTTGGACTTGGACTTGGACCTGGACTTAAGTCTGTCGCTGGACGAGGGCCTCTATTAAATGGTCCATCAAGTGCCCGGCAAAGACATTTTATACAGGGGAGGAACGTTCACCTGGCCGCAGAAAAACGAAGAAACAGCGGAGACACATAAAAATCACCCGAAAAACAAAAGAAATTAGGTAGCAAGGCAGAACAAAGTAAAATGTGGCGAAATTGGAGGGGATTTGGACGATTGGCAAATTATTAAACTATGCAAATGTCTGTCGACTGATTTATGCACAGAAACCAGAAACAGAAAACATGGAGAACCGACAACCGACAATCGAAAACCTAAAACCATCCCAGTCCAGAGAACCCAGAACGTTGACTTTTGGTAGCTCCATTTCCATTTCCAGTTGCAGTTTGCCTCTTACCAAAATCTAGAAATTTGCATTTTGGGTCGTCTCAAAAATACGGAAAAATATATATAAAAAAAAAAAAAAAGAAAGAGAACCGTCTGGCCGATTCTTGAGCCAATTTTGAGGTCAAAAGTGAGATTCTCAATAAGTCAAGCCGTTTCCATTTGTCACTGTCCGAAGTGGGCGAGGTCCCACTGTTCTTCCCCCAGATGTCAGAGTTCGGGGCTTATTTGGGCCACATCTCATATGCCTGGCTATCTCTGGCCATTTCTGGCCAGCATGTGTTCCCCATTCGCATCGAACAACGGGCGCTTAAATCAATCAAATGGATCGAGTCCATAGTGCGAAATTTATTCTTTTCTCCGCCATTCACCCCATTGAAAGTCGGTTCCACTTAGTGCCAGCGATTAAATTGTTAACCCATCGAACTATAAGTTGCGAGCTGAGCGAAATAATGGCAAGACGGATTATGGTTTTATGCGATTTATGGCCGCTTGCTTACTATTATTTATTTATTTCCGCCATTGTTTGCTAATTTAAATCAATAACGTTTTGTCGATTAAGCTTTGTTCAATATCGAAGCCAATTAGGGAACAAGAAATTATAATACGGGCCACATAAATTATTTTACTAAAAGTGGTTTTAAAAAGGCGCCAAGAAATGTAAAAATCGAATGTTGATAATTAAATATGTTGCGTACTTGTGAAAGGTTTAAGTTCCTTAAGTCAAACGATTTTCAGTATTGCATTCATTTCCAAATAAATAAGTTTAAGAAAATCTTTTCATTTAACAAATACTAAGACCAATGCCAAGTACCAGAACTGATTGTTCAATGAATCAGTAAAAAATCAGTAAAGGATACTATTTTTATACGGCTCTAAAATACCATTCCGCGAGCTATTGGAAACTGAGCATCAATATAAAAAATAATCAATAAAAACACAATCATTTTTACCCGGTAAACCGAGTTTTGCATTCTGGAAGTCCAGTTTTGGGTCACCTTTCTGCCTTCGGAGCTTTGGAAATAACTGACACAAAAATGTCTCACACTCCTTTAAATATTTATCTAAAGAAAAAAATATAGTTTGAGATTTACAAATTTGCATATCCTCATTATTAATTATTTTAAATTTAATTAAATAACCTTCTAAAACATATTTTTAATATTATTCTGTAATAAAACCATAAATGGTCTTGCATATAAAATATCTCTGTCTCAGGTATTTTCATAATAAAAAAGTTAGGGACAGCATACATTTATGTGACGTACATTACACGTGTTTGTGGTGAACATGGCGAAACTTTCCCAAAACAACAACAATGTCTGTGGGACTGTTAAATCTAATCATTTCCGATATCGATCCCCTGGCCTGAATATTAATTAATCTCCCTGAATAACGTATAGAATCGGGAAGCAATCGATGGCCGCCGTCCGATCTAATTTCGAATTTGGGCCACTGACCACGGGTGGTATGATTAATTTATGTGCTCTGTTTTTTCGAGCTACATTTTTTTCGCCAGCCTCTCCGATGGTTTATCTAATTTATGTTATTGCCGCGGCAATTATTTAAATTTTCCACGGCTACCGTTGGCAGCTCTTTGTAATGACGAGGGCGGCCTGGGAAAAAAGGAAAACATATTTGCGGCCCATTATGGGCGACATAAACAAATGTTTTAATAACCAAATTATGCGGAGAGGAGCGCAATGTATTCATTAGCTTTGAGGTCTGGACCAGCAAAAGAGATCCGAGCCAAGTTGTTTGATGCTAATGGAAATGCATAAAAAAATCATAAATACTCATTAGCAAAGTGATTCTTTTTTCTGCATGTGTTTGGGGTATGTGGCGAAGAAAGTTGGACCCCCCACTTGGGGTCACCTCATCTCACCTCATCGTTCGCGGGGTCAACATATTTGGAAAGTTACTGTGGTAGGGAAAGTTATATTCTTGGACCGTCTGACTAAGAAACATTCCCGGAATTAGCACAATGATCCACATTTGGCGAAAAGAAATCTCTGGGCGGAAATCACCATTACTTTCAGGCCAGAGGCGGATCCATGGAGCGAAATTGGGGTTCACAACCCTCCCTCTCGGTTAAAAATGTACACAAAGTCATTTGCTACAAAAGTATGCTTCAAAACTATGGTTTTACAAACCCTTAAGATTAGAGCCTGCTTTAGAGGCTCCAAACAATAGAATTTCTGTTTTGCATAAATGTCTACCCTAGAATTTCAGAAGCAAATTCAAAATATTTTTAAGGTTAAAGAAGAAAAATCAAGTCAGCGTTACGATTTTTTGGATCCGATTTTTTATATACGCAAAGTTTTCATATGCGATTTCTCGGTTTTTCATTTTTACGATTTTCTCCTAAAATTAAACGTCCTATCGAAACGTGCATTTATTGGATTCGGGATTAAATTCTCTTCTAGACGAACCTAAAAACCTTAAAAAGTTATGTGTTTTTAAACAATCTAAAGTTTTTTTTTGGTTTAATTTGCGAAAATTTGTATAATTTCTCACTTTTTGTTAAATTTTTGTAGTTTAACTTAAAGATATACTATTGAGAATAGAAACTTTTTTAATTTTTTTTTCTGATGGAAATTGGGATCTGCATATTTCCCGACGAACGACACATGCACAAATGCTTGTACCAGGCATAATTTGACATATATTTTAATGAAAGAATTTGAGAAGACTGTTGAAATATATAACAATAAAACCTGAAAGTTTCGTTTCAATCGAATATTTCTTTCCTTCCCAAAAGAGTCGTCGGAAAAACCCCTTAAATGACTTCGTTCAATTGATTTTAATTGATCACAAGTCTTTTAGAATTCATTTATATTAGTTTAAAAAGCAGAATTTGTATAACCATTCAACTATCAATCAATCGATTTGGTTGATGTTTATCTAATATAGTGAATTTTTTAAACTCAATAAAATTGTTTAATACTTGTATTCATTTATTCGAAATTTTATCTGTTTAAGAAACCTTACAAATTTTATGAAACCCAAGCCGTTTACATGACAAATTTTTAACCCATCTTGAGTTTGCGGAAAATAAAATGAATTCAATTCAGTTTTGAAAAAAAACAAAGCATTAAATAATATATTTTTCGAACTTATTTTATGCAACAACAGTGGTATTTAAAAACCACAAGTATTCGATGGTATTTTAAGTTTTTAAGATATTTTTTTTAAAGGAACCAGTTAAAGGAAATGTCAAACATAGTTTTTAAATTTAGTTTCTTAGATCTTAGATCTTGAAGACTACCCAACTGGCTGAAACCAGAAATCCCTTACAACCTAGGCGTGGCCACAAAGCCCATGGTATTTACGATTCTGGGCCCTGAAACTAGTTTTTGGCCTGCTTTAAAACCATCGCGACCGTTTGGCAATGCGACCTGCGACCCGATCTCTTTTGGCCAGCGGTCAAGAAACCGCAAATTGATTTACAGCCCCGAGATGGAACTGAAAAAAAAGAGAGAGAGAGAGCTTTACCAAGCCGCCGGCTCTCCGGATCTCTCGCTCTTTTTGCCGGCCAACACGCGCTTTTGGCCAAAACCGTTTGTAGACGGCACATAAAAAGCTCGGGTCGCGTCGCTCCCCCAACAGTTCGGCAAAAGAAACCTCTGTCAGTGGACCCCCAGAAATCGAGAGCTTGATAAACAGTCGCGTGCGTGATAGCGTCCCCCCAAAGAAAACGCCGAGAAAATCCCGAGAAAACGCTGAGAAAACCCTGAGCAAACCCCGAGAATCCCGAGTAGCCATGACCAAGTTCGTGGTGGTGGGCCTGTGCCTGCTAGTGGCCTTCGGCCAGATGGCTTCCGCCGTAACCGAGGCTCCGGAGGTGGAGCAGTCGACGGAGTCGCCCATCGCCGACATGGCGCTGATTGGTAGGACCGAGGATCCCCTTCCCCTCCCCCCCCCAACCCCTCCAGAATCCCCATTAATCTCTGCCTGTGTTTCTTCTTTTTTTTTCATGTGCCGTGTTTTGTTTGTTTTGTTTGTGTGTGATTGATTTGCTTTTTTTTCTGTTACTGTTACTGTGTGATTTGTGTGTGTGGTGGAGCAGCGGAGGCGCCATTGGCCCCCAAGACGCCCACGGAGAAGCCGCCCGTGGTCGCCCAGGAGCCACCCCTTGTCACCGCCCAGGAGAAGGCCGCTCCGCAGCCGCACACGGTGGCCGACTTCATCATCCACCCGTTGATCGCTTTTAAGCCGCGCCAGGCGACGCTGGAGGAGATCCAGGGCAAGCAGGCGCCGGCCACTCCCGGCGCAAGTGCCCCCGCCTCGCCGGCCACCTGGCTGTTCGGCATGAATCCCGCCCAGCAGCTGGGCTCCTCCTTCTCCACGCTGGCCGGTTCCGTGTCCGGCTGGTTCAGCGATCGCCTGGCGGCCGCCGGCCAGCAGATTCCCGGCCTGGTGGAGACGCCGGTGCGCGGCGATTCCGAGGCCAGCAGCAGCGGCATCAGCGGCATCAGCAGCACCACCACCACCTCGACCACCACCCAGCGACCCGATATTGTGGTGCGGGTGCAGCAGCGTCCCCAGCGGAACGGCAACCGAAATGGCAATGGAATCCGAAACGGAAACGGCAACGGCAACGGCAATCTGAACAACAACAACAACAGGCGGCGCCAGCAGAGACCCAACCGCTTCAACAACCGACTGGACTCCTTCGAGGAGGACTACTACGAGGACGACTACCTGCAGGGCAACCGCTTCGACGACGACGAGGACGATTTGAGTCTGGAGCAGTTCGAGGACGAGGACTCCCTGGAGCTGCGTCCGCAGCAGAAGCCCAAGCAGAAGCCCAAGCGGAAGCAGACCCAAGTGCAGGCGCAGACCCAGAAGCAGCGCAGGAAGTTCCAGCAGGAGGAGCAGGTGGCCGTCACCCAGAAGCGTCGTCAGCCGGCGACGACGAGCAAGAAGCCCAAGGCGCCGAAGAAGCCAGTGGTCGTTGAGCAGCAGGACGAGGAGGAGGAGAACGAGGAGGATGAGGAGGCCAACAACGACGACGACGAGGAGGAGGATCAGGTCCAGGACGACGACAGCCAGGAGCAGGACTTCCAGCCCGAGCCCCTCTTCGCCACCACATCCACGCGTCGCAGCCAGAACCAGCCGAACTTCATCCAGCGCGGCCAGCAGAGCATCATCAGCCAGATCCGGCAGTTCACCCGCGGCCAAACGCCCGGCGAGCTGGGCACCACCCTGCGCCGGACCTCCGCCTCCTCCCCATCCTCGTCGGGCTCCCAGGGCCGCCGGCCGCAGCAGGGCACAACCTTCCTGGTGAACCGCAACGGACAGACCGTCTACCTGGCCCCCGAACTGCTCGGCCTGAACAGCTCCCCCTACCCCTACGCCTATGTCCAGGGGCAGCCCAAGAAGCAGCGCGTGCCCGTCGTGGGCGGGGCCTTCCCCCAGCCCCCCCTCACGGTGCCCGTGCGACGCCAGGGACGGCCCACCCAGTACATCACCATCCCGTGGAGCCAGCTGGGACTCTCGCCGCCGGACCAGCAGTCGCCGGTCTCGCTGGCCGAGGGCCTCCAGGCCCAGCCCCTCATCCTGAACATCCCGCAGAGCGCCATCAGCCCGGTGAGGAGCACCAGCGGCGGGCAGAAGAAGCGGCGACCCCAGCTGACCCCCCGCCGCAGTGCCCCTGCTGGCGGACGCCTCGCTCATGGACATCTTCCAGCCGCCCCAGATCCCGCCCTCGCGCACCGGAGCCCCCTCCCCGGTTGCCACCAAGCCCATCTCCGCCCAGCCCGTGCTGATCGCCGCCAAGCCCGTGAAGGCCGGCGGCCTGGGCCTGCCCACCCGCATCCGACCCGGAACGATCGTGGAGAAGGCCCCGGCCATGGAGGTGGTCGAGGCGGCGGAGCAGCCCGCGATGGAGGCCACCGAGGTCAAGCAGGAGCAGGAGGCGATGGCCGGTGTGGAGGCGGCGGCTGCGGCAGCTGCTCCCCCGCCGAGCAGCAGGAGTTCATCCTGGTGGGCGATGACGACGAGCCCGGTCTGACCCGTCATGTCCAGCCCGCCTTCGGCGATGCCCGCTACGTGTCCTACGGCGACTTCCATCCCTACTTCGACCTGCTGCACCAGAACAGGCGGTTCGCGTTGAGGAAGAGCGGCAGGTCGCTGGAGCAGCCAAAGGAGGAGGTTCACAAGGAGGAGGTTCAGAAGGAGGAGGTTCAGAAGGAAGAAGTCCCGAAGGAGGAAGTCCGGATGGAGGAAGTCCAGAAGGAGGAAGTTCAGAAGGAGGAGGCCCAAATCGAAGAGGTCAAGAAGGAGGAGATCAAGCAGGAAGAGATCAAGAAGGAAGAACCCCAAAAGGAGGAAATCAAAAAGGAGGAGCCCCAGAAGGAGGAGATCAAACAGGAGGAACCCAAAAAGGAGGAGATCCAAAAGGAGAAGCCTCAACCTCTGGAGCAGTCAAAACTCCCAGCATAATTCTGTAAAATCATAGACCCCCCCTCGAAAAAAAACGAACCCAAACGAACGAAATAATGAAGAAAACAAAAGAAAATAACAAACAAAACCAAAACCAAACGATTTTCAATCCCCGTGAAAACCACAAAGAAATAAATTTTTTTACCTTTTTTTTTGCGTGTGTTAATGCCTGACCAAAAAGTTGAAGAGCCGGCGAAAAAAAAAAAATGAGAGAAAACTATTAGCATAACTAAATTTTTTATTGTTTTCGTTGGCCAGTTGAAAGTTCAAGTTTTCGTATGCGAGATCTGCACGAGAGATCAATGAACCTCGAAAGACGAGAAAACCTGATCTCGAATCAAAAAAAGATGGCTAATTAATGAGGCCCGTGCGCTTTGACCGATTTAAATATGTATCTACTAACGCTTCATTTTATTTTTGTTCGCCTTTCCATAATTAATATTCGCCCAGAAAAGAAATTCGCTGCTGAGGTCAACAGCATAATTAATTCCGCTGATTATATTCGAATAGATATGCAAATTAGTTGACCGATTAACGGTATTTGGCACACAGTTGCTTGAGCAGAATAATCGATCGAAGGCAACCTTGCGGAGGGCTTTTATAGCAGGTAGCTTCTCGAGAATTTTAGGAAGTTCAACAAGGAGTTTTTAGGTAGTCTACAGCAGCTTTTGAGTTTCATAGCAGTAAGACTTATCAAGCTATGCAACAGATATCTGGGAACTTTTATATACCTAATGACAGGACACTATCAAACTTTATGAAGCTTATTTGGAATTGTTGTTCTTAAGAGAGTAGATAAATATCTGACATCTTTGGGCTTACAGAACTTTAAGTGATCTCAGAGTTTAAAGCTTATTGCAAGGATTTCGCTTATATCCTTAAAGCTCAAGCTTTAAGCTTATACCAAACTTGAAAAAGCTGAGCCACACAAATTATAAAGCTGGGTAGAGATCGTAAAGTAAAATATTTAATTTTATTTATTACTGCGCATAATGCTATAAATCAATATTTAAAAACCTTTCGTGAGCATTGTTATTTTCCTATTAATAGACTTAAAAAAGCATTTGCAGAATTAATAGAAAATCTTAAATATTTGTATTAACTTTTTTGCTATATTTTTGCAAAATAGTTCACATAATACTAAAATCCAGATCTTGCTTAAATAATACAAGATATTCTGTTCTTAATTTATGTGCTTATTTAAAATTAATGTTAAGTAAGATATTTTTGTTTTTGTAGCCCTTGTGACTGCATTACTCAATCACTTCCAAATGAAATTGTCGTATTGACTTTTAATTTTTCAGACAGCCTTGATTTGCTGTTGTTATCTAGAGTGTTTTCCATATATGGGCTGTTTCAAATTATATTGTGTGAAATCAGACTCCAGAGCATCGCATTCTTACAATGTTGCTTAATAACGCGACTCGTAGGCCACATTTATACTTTTCTCGCCGGCTCAATAGACTCTTGTTTGGGCCACATTAGATACGCAGAAATTCCTTTCCAGCTTGATGACCCCGGGCAGCGTTTAGCAAGTCAAGCGGAGCTGGAGCCATCCCATCCAGCAAACCCATCCCAGATCGCGACGAGGGGCTGCCAACACTCTTGGCGCGATTATATGGCCATATGGCTACGGCCCCCGGGCCCAAAGATGGAAATTTGCATAATCATCCCAAAATGAGCGGACACTATTGGGCCAACATGCGAGCACTTCAGACCGGCCAGTTGACAACATTATTCCAGCATTATTCCGACGATCGTTAATTGTTCGCAGCGACAAAAGGCCGGGGTGAACGGTCAGTCAAGTGGCCGAGAAGCTGGCCCAAACTGGATGCCAAATTAGAAAAGGCCGTGGAAAGAGTTTGGGATTCCTGCCCTCCGATTCGGATATCTCATAAATTCCCCCAGGCTGGGGTCAGCACCTGCCCAATCGGCTTTTGGCCATTTAATTAAGGCCCGCGGGCAACGGACAATGAACTTTCAACTCGATCGGGGCCCAGCCCATAATCCGACAAAGGCCAATTTATTATCTATCTGCCGGAGTTGGCCAAAAACAGCGAACTGGACAGCAGCTTTCTTTGTGCCGTTGTCTCGTTTGAATACCATGTTTATAGCGGCCTGACCCCGTTGAACTTCTCCCTCGGCAAATTCTTATGGAAATTATGTTGGCGTTTCTTTTTTGTCATATTGTTTTTTTTTTTTTTTTTTTTTTAGAAATTTTTCGCAGTTTCCGCCGCCTGTTGCCAAGCGGATTTTTTCTGCGTCTTCTCGAAAGTCTTCAATAAAATATGTTTGAATATGAAATTGACCCAAGTGCGTTTGGATTTCTTTTTTGGGGGGAAGCAGCTATTATAAATTGGCCGGCTTATGAAACAAATTTGAAACCGTTAGGGGGATTTCTCCCATCCATACATGGATATTTTTTGGTGACCCAGTTTTGTGTAACAGTTCATCAGAGTTAAAAGTTGAAACTCATAAAAGAACAAATGTAATTTATGCGATCTAACGACTTTGAGAAAAAATCCAGATCTATCAATAAATTGGCCTGCAAATTTTTTACGAAACTAGCTACCGTTTTCTAGGTTCTCTTGCATTATAAATATTTATATTTAATGTTGTCATCTCACCATGTTATGGGCAAAAAGCCTAAACTTTTGGAGTGACTAAACCACATTATTTTATCTAAAAATACCTCTGACTTCTTCGATCATTGTTAATATCTACCATGTTTGTTAATGAATTCTACCTTGAAAAAGAAGCTTAAGGAATGCCGCAAGTCAGGAATATATTAATTTCTTAAACTATCCCAGGCCATTTTTTGTGTTAACATATAAATGGAAATTAGTTTTATTAATTTATCTCTCTCCCATCTTCCTTTAACTTGTTTTCCTTAAAAAAATGTATAAACATCAAAAAATATTACTACTCCCTTGAAATATGTTTGTTGTATGAAGATTTCAGTTTTAACAATTTAAATAAAAGATATAATTACGAAAAAATCACATATTTTCTTCGTTTTAAATTAATTAATTAATTATCTTTGATTATCTCAAAGTCTGAAGAACTCAGAATGTTTTTTGGTCGCAACAATCGATCTGCATTAAGAATATTATAAGCTTTTAATGAAAAACATATTGCTAAATACCCAAGAGGGGACATGTTTCGAAATTGTTAAAAATTAGAGATATTTTGGAATATAAAATTTCATTTGAAAGTAGTTTTTCGATGTAGAAATCCTGCTGAAAAGCCTGAAGTGTCACTTGAAAATCAGAAAGCTGGAAACTATAATAGACTAACAAAACCCGAAACATGAGCCACGTGCAGAACGTCACCACGGACCATGTGGTGATCTACGAGTTCGCCTGGCCACTGCTGGTGGCCTTGTTCGAGGTGGACCTGTACAGGATCGCCCTGGAGCTGGTGGCCCACGCCCTGCTGACCGTGGTGGCCGTGGTGGTGGTCAGGAAGTCGCTGGGCATGGACGACTCCCGCAGCGGACAGCACGCGGTGTACTCCACCGTGGGACTGATCTTCTGTGCGGGCGAGGCTCTGCTGGTGTGCCACTCCTGGTGGCTCAAGGACCTCACCAGCCGGAGGCGTCTGGTCCTGCTGCACATGGTCCTCGGGATGGCGGGCCTCTGGCTGGGACTGATCGGGATTTTCCTGAAGAGTCTGGCCAAGAGCAGGGCCAAGGAGCGGGACCGCCACTTCGCCTCCAAGCACGGAGCCTGCGGCCTTCTGGGATTCCTGCTGGTCGCCGGTTCCCTGGTCACCGGACTGGCCCTGGTCCACCTGAGCCACCTGGTGCTGCACCTCGTCCACCGCCTGACGGGATTCTGCGGCTTCGTATGCCTCTGCTGCTGCCAGTGGTTCGCCCTCAACTTGGGATTCGCGCGGCGGGAGTGGAGCAGCGGGCAGATCAAGTGGCTCAAGATCATTACCCTGGGCGCCACCGTTGCGGTGACCGGCTACGAGTTTCTCTGCCTCGCCAAGGACATCGTCCACCTGCTCCCCAGGAGCTGGTTCACGGGGATCGGGCTCAAGATGAAGGACCTGAGTGACCTCGTCGTGGAATGAACTCTATAGCATAATGATCTGTATCTATAATGAAAAACAAATGAAAGCCAATTTTAATTGCTAGAAATAACACTTGTCTCTTTGCGACACATCAGTAAGCTTATTTATTTCCCAATTGAAGTGCTGGTCTAAACAAGTTGGCTGTAAAGGCCTTTATTTTGGGTTGCAGGGAAATAAGTGCAATTAAGTGACCCACAATTGAATTTCCACAGTCCATAACTTTTCCAAATTTAGTCCGCTTTCAAAGTGACACACTTCTAAAGACTTGTGGAATGATTCTCTAAAAATCTGCATTCAAAATTTTCATTTCAAAGTTGATCGAATTTTTGACCCATTTTCATGTTGCTTATTTCTATGTTTCCGATGAGTTGTAATAAAGTGACCCACACTTGGACTTCCACAGTCCATAACTTTTCCAAATTTAATCCGATTTCAAAGTGACATACCTCTAAAGACTTGTGATTCGATTCTCTGAAAATCTGCATTCAAAATTTTCATTTTAGCGTTGGTCGACTTTTTGACCCATTTTCATGTTGGTTATTTCTAAGTTTCCGATGATGTGTCAAATGGTGACCCTCAATTGGACTTCTAAACTCCATAACTTCCCCAAATTTAATCCGATTCCAAAGTGGCATACCTCTAAAGACTTGTGATTCGATTCTCTGAAAATCTGCATTCAAAATTTTCATTTTAGCGTTGGTCGACTTTTTGACCCATTTTCATGTTGGTTATTTCTAAGTTTCCGATGATGTGTCAAATGGTGACCCTCAATTGGACTTCTAAACTCCATAACTTTCCCAAATTTAATCCGATTCCAAAGTGGCATACCTCTAAAGACTTGTGATTCGATTCTCTGAAAATCTGCATTCAAAATTTTCATTTTAACGATGATCGAATTTTTGACCCATTTTCATGTTACTTATTTCAAAGTTTCCGATGAGTTGCTAAAAGGTGACCCACACTTGGACTTCCACAGTCCATAACTTTTCCAAATTTAGTCCGATTTCAAAGTGACATACCTCTAAAGACTTGTGAATTGATTCTCTAAAAATCATTAAAATTATTATTAATTTAACGTTGATTTTATATTTTTTGACCCACCTATATGTTAGTTTTTTCTGTTAACCTATTTATTAAAGAATGCTCTATGTACATAATTAGGTCAATGTGGAAATAAATAAACAAACAGCGAACTTTATATTCTCAAGTCCATAATCCAAATAAAAAAATCTTATACACGGCATAATGAACTTGATGAATATGAAAATTAAAAAATGTTTGCCAGCTCGTTTGGAGGCTGTGAATTGATCGCATGTGAAATATTAGTCGACTTTCAGTCTTTCACCTGCGAAAGCCACTCCGTTGGCCAATTAATCACGAGAATCAAGAAACAAGAACGGCAACGGGCCATAATTCTTGGCCAACGAGGGTCTATCAATCTTGGCAAGGCCTCCCATTGGAATTGACCGGGGATTGGGTATATGACCGGCGGTTGGGGTTGGGATGCCTCGCACTTCGCATGCGTCGCTGACTTGGGGAGCAGGTCCATCATAAGTTCGGGCCGGCCCTTGACTTCTCGGGTTTTCTAAGTCTTTTTGGTCAGGCTTTTGGTTCTCGGGGGCCCAGAACTTTGTGCGTGTCTCTGATTGTTTTGTCATTAGCATGACCGCCGCGCTTTTTTGGGCCTTTGGTGATCTTCGACTTTTTGATTCGGCACTCGGCAATCGCCGGACTGCTGATTTATTCAGCGCTCTTTCTTTTGTCCCGCCAGAGGGTCACTGACTCTTACCATTTCTATTCCCCCATCTACATTTTTCTACATTTCCACAAATTTCGCCACTTGAAATTATGCCGACATCGACCGCAATTATGCCCAATGTTATTCTGAGTGTTTTGGGGCTCTCTCTGCCCATTGGCTTTTTGCGGGTTCTGGGTTCTGGATTCTCGATTTTGGCCAGAACTTTTTCGCATAAAAACCTAATGCCGCCGCCGCAGATCGTACAGTTCTGTTTGGGCCTTGCTTACAATTAGGATCCGGTCGGCAGTAAATCGCAATCTAATTTTATTTTCAACGTGCACTTGCAAAAAGCCTACAGGATAGAGATGTCCAAGTTGGGAGCCATCTTGGTGCTGGCCCTGTGCCTCTTCGTTTCCGCGGCCCTGGCCGAGCCACGCCTCCAGGGGCGCGGGCAGGTGCGGGGGCGGGGCCAGTTGCAGGGTCAGAGGTCGCAGCACCCCTACCTCTTCCTCACCATTCCCAAGGGTCGTGCCAATGCCGGCGCCGTGGTCCAGGGCTTCGAGATCGTCGAGGAGGAGGACGACCAGGACCAGGATCAGGTCGACCAGCAGGACGAGGATCAGCAGGACGATGTGAACAACGACGACGACGACGACGAGGAGTTGGAGCAGCAGCTCGGCCTGAACTTCGCCCGCAGTGGCCTGGCCTACCGGAAGAGCCAGGAGGACGAGGAGCAGGACGACGACCAGGACGACGCCCAGCCAGCTCAGCTGGCCAAGAACCAGATGATGGTGCAGCGTGACCAGGCCGGAGCCATCATGGTGCCCGACGGCATCATCGAGATCGAGGGCCAGAGCGTCCTGGACGGGAAGACCGGCAAGGCGGCCCTCCTCGTTCCCCGCGCCGCCCTGGACGCCATTCCCGACGGCGCCGTGGTGGCCCTGATGGAGCGCCACGCCCCTCCGATCCCGCCGACGACGACGCCGTGGAGGAGGAGCGCGCCAATCGCGTGGTGGTGCGCCGCCGCAAGAACAACGGCCGCCGCAACATCCGTCGGCGCGGCATCAGCGGCAGCAACAACAACAGCCGCCGTCGCCGCCGCCCCGCCCAGCGTCGCCGCCGAACGGGCGGCAACCGGAGGCGCAACGTCCGCGTCATCCAGCCCCAGAACGGCGGCCAGAGGAGGCGTGGCAACCAGAGGCGCCGCGGTCAGGTCGTCCTCCAGGGTTGAGTGATGCCCATCCACGAACGCCCCTTCTACGTAGTATTATAGTTAAGATCCACTGCCGAACAGGACACGAATTATGACACAATTGACACCGATGCGACAAATAAAATGTGATATGAAAATAATATTTATTTTGGATTTTCAATGGGTGTATGACATGGGAAGGGTTTACTGGGCGGTAACTAATTCATATTTTGAAGAGGTTGGAAATTAGTTCTTATTGGCTAGCAAATATTTGTACATACATACATAAAATTTCTTACATTAGATTTCGTATTAATTGTATATAATATATTGTATATCTAATTTTATTGTTAAGATCTACTGGCGAACCAGGCTCGAATAAGAGGCACATGTGATATGAAATTAATATTTATTTGAGATTTTTAATGGGTGTTTTTTGCATGTCGAAAAAAATTTATCGGGAAGTAAATTCCCAACTTGTAAAAATTTAGTAAGAGATTGCAAGAAAATTTTTATTCCTCATAACTTCACCTTTAACACCTTTTAAATAATTTACTAAGCTTATTCATGATACAAGCTATACCGATTTTTAGAAAATATATATCTTTATAACTTAATATTAATTAAAGTTAAGACAGACTGCCGAACAGATATATTCAATTGTTTTTAGTTGGAGTTTTTAATGGGCTTATGATACAAAAATAGTTTATTGGGAATCTATTTTTATAAATAAATAAATTCTTATTGACAGAATCTCTTGATATGCCCAAAATGAAAACTTTAAATGTGTTTGTATTTGTAAGATTTATATTTTTTAATACGTTCTTATAATAGCTCTTTTTAACTACTTTTGTGACCAATAAAATGAAGAAATCTATGTTCTGAGAGTTTAATCTTTCATTTTCAGAAGAGATGAGCAATAAATTCTCGTTGAATAATCGAGTATCTTCAATTGACTCTCTGAGTTTATTCTTCTTTCAAAATACTTTATTTTGATTTGTTTCATAGTATTTGACTAAAGGGAAACCCGTTTTATTTCTGTATATGAGACACTTGATTACAATGCGGCAAATAATATATGAAATGTAATATACTTTTAATTTTGTTTAACGTTACTTTGGTTGAATATGATATAATATACTTTAAATATACTTTATTGGAAACTCAATTTCAATATTCAATTTGAGAAGTATATAAATTAAAATAGTTCCATAAGCTAGCAATTTCCCGAAGATAAATTTGTAAATTAAATTAAAAACTTGTTTACTTTTTTATTTAGGGAAAATTAACTGTTTACAATCAAAGCAAGATTTATGCAAATTGCTTGGCAATTGCTAAAAAATTCGTTCATTCTATTTTGGGGAAATAGGCGTATGAGGCTCTCAAATTGTATTTTCATCTTTATTTTACAACTATGTTATATATACTAATGTAAAACACTTGAAAATGAATCTGATGATCTGAGATCTTGCAAACAAAATAAATTTTACTACAGTCTGGTGACCAAAAGAAACCATTTTTTGCAAATTTTAAAAGGTGGTAACAATAGAATACTGCTGCATTTGTTTAAAGATTGTACATTTATTATTTCTTAATTTATAAAAGAACAGCTTATTGCATTGATTATTGAAATAAGTAAAACGTTGCAATTGTTCTTGAGCAACTTGGGGAATATTCAACACTTAGATTGCAAATAGCTATTATTTTATGGGCAGATCTCCGTTCAGTGGTAATTTCAGTTTTCTTCACAATTAAGCCAAATGCTGTAATTGGTGTAACTCAGTAATTAACTGAAATTCACTCTGTTGGGAGGAAATACCGGCACCAACTGGGCTAAGGAACACAGGGAACTGACAGCCCAGAACTTCTGTTTGGGCCAGATTCCGGGGGTCAATCTCGACTTGACGTCAATCAATCATCGGCTGCTCGGCGATGGATGGAAGAATGTTTTTGGCGAAAGAGATGGGAAATTAGCATAAAATTCGTACGTCTCTGACCCGCGACCCGGTTCACTTTGACCCCGGGCGAACTTTGGCTAATAGAGCTGGCCGAAAGACTGCGAATTTGGAGGTGATGGGGATGGGCTGGGACGAGGGGCGGATGACAGCAATCGATCAGCTGGACGGGCTCCCAAGTGGCTATATAATCCCGGGTCGGGCCTTCAGTTGTCAGTCAGTTGTGAGTGCAAACTCAGAGACAACAAGTGAGCCAGGAAGCCTCGATCCAAAGTCAAGGAACCCCAACCAAGCAATCCCAACCAGGAAAATCAGGATAACCACCTGCAGAATGCATTGCCTGCTTCAACTGAGTCTGGCCGTGGCCCTTTGTGCCCTTTTGGTACCATCCGCCACTTTGGGTGAGTCCTCCGATAGTCTATTTACAAAATATCCAGAAATTAGAGACTTACTGCAGCCCTCTATTCTCTGATTCTTTATCAAAAAAGTTGAGTCACTTTGTGCAAAAGAGTTGGAGAAGAAGGCAAAAACGCAGCCAAGCCCTCCACTCTTTATCAAAACTTAATATCTGATCACTGCTTTTTTCGCTCAAACAAAGCCACATTTATAAAAATATTAATTTTTTAAAATTCAAAATTTATTTTTGACAAAAAACCAAAACTTTGCAAAATATTTGATAGCTCGAAAATAAAAAAAAAAGTGTTTAAAGTTTTTATAATTATTAACTTTTGGAATGATAATATTGTAAACCTCTGTAAGAACGCGACTTTGCTGAATTAGTATTATAAGTAGTTCAACGATATATTTAAAAATATTATTTTTGAATTTAATATAAATTGAGCGCTATCCAATCTCCACTAGATTTGCTGTCTAAGCCTGCATACTTTTACACAAGGCCTGAACTAAAATTATTTAACTAATTCCCCACTGAACTCCTCACTTTGTGACTCGCAGCCGAACGCCGCCATGAGTACCGCCTGGGAGCTCCGCGCTCCTCGGGAGACGCTCCTCTGGAGGGCCGCTTCACCTCGATAGCCAACAAGCTGACCGCGCTGAAGGGCAGCACCTCGTCGACCACGACGTCACCCACCAGCACCACCACATACAGCACCCCCTACACCGATACCACCACCTACTCCCCAACCGCTCCCATCACCTCCTACGGCACCTCGACCTCCACCACCACGCCCACCACCGTGAAGCGGTCCTTCGGCGCCTCCAACCTAGAGGAAGGCGACGACGAGGAGGAGGAGCTGGCGAGGTCCTACGAGGAGGAGGATGACGACGAGGAGGCCGACAGCTCGAATGCCGACGATGACGACGACGAGGAGAGCTTCTTCGTGGACCCACCCGTGGTCGTCGGCGCAGAAGTGCAGCAGCCGGCGTCCGAGTCCAGTGGATCGGTGGTGCGGCCCACCGAGCTGCAGTGGCGCCAGTTCCAGACGGAGCAGCGCAACCGCCGACGCATCCAGCGGCTGCAGCGGGAGCACAACCAGCGGATCAGGGCGCTCCTGCGCCGCCAGCGGAACGCCGAGAAGCGCAGCCAGCAGCGACTGCGCCGCCAGCGCGAGCAGAGCCGTCGCCGCACCACGCAGCGCCAGCGTCGCAACCGCAACCGCAACAGGGCCCAGCGCCAGCGGCAGAGGAAGAGCCAGATGAGCCGTCGCCGTCGGCAGCAACAACAACGCCAGCGCAGGCAGCGCCAGCAGCAGCGCCGTCGCCTGATGCGCCTGATGCGCCGTCGTCGTCGCGGTGGCCGCAACTAAGGTGGTGACCCCGATCCCGATCCCGACCCCGAACCCCGAAATAAACCGAACTTGTATGCAAAACAAACCACCCCTTTTTTTTTTTTAATTACTACATTCACTTTGGGAGGTGGATTACTAGGATTCATCATGGGGTAACTAGCGAATACCAAAAGGGATCGACTTAAATTAAGAAGATGGATTGGAGACCTCATAGGCTATACCATGGAACACCCAGCAAAGATAACAGAGTTACTACTTGAAGAACCTTATGAGCTATATCATGTAATACCAAATTAGCACTCTACAAACTTTATAGTAAATATGTATAATAAGATCACTAGCAAAGATCCATGGATAATGTATATTTTCCTAAGTAGATAACAACTTGAGGATCTAAGCCACTATCAAATATGAAAATAAGTTATTATTAAGGAACAGATCTCATTATCGAAGATCATGTCAGATTTGCTAGGATCATTGATCCTTAAAAAGCACCAAGAACATTTGACTTTTAAAGAAGAAAATAACAGCTGTTAAATATAAATGTAGAAAGGCAATTATTGAGATAGGAAAGGGTGTGATGTGCCATTTAATATCGTTAGACATTGTCGAGTATGAGGTAAATATAAGCAAGACATCATTTAAGATTATTAAAGCTACAAGAATGTATGCTGTATGAATATCTGTAGCCTCTAGCAGCTAATTTAATGATTGTAATTACTTACAGAACCGATCAAGTTCGCATAAAATCTACTGAAACATCGTAATACCGTTTGAAGTCGTGCGAATTGGAACTCTTTCTCTACACCTAATGTCTTTCTTCGCGGAATTGCGTGTGGGGTCACCGCCTCAGTGGTTCATTGACACCTCGCCTCCACTTTCGCCCTTTGGTTGCCATGTTTGAGACTCGCATCAGAATCAGAATCTGAAATCCGAAATCAGAACCGAATATGAATATGCAAATGGCCTCGTCGATTCGCGAGCCATATGCAAATGATTAGCGGCGATCGATGGACCGGGGTTACGGGTCAGACGGCGATTATTTATGGCATTATGCAAAGCGTTTACAACGCGGGCCGGCTGTTTCTTGGCCCTTTCCTCGTGGTAGGCCTAAAAACCCTCTTCTCTCCACCACCCCCCTCCCCTCCCCACCGTTACAAGCCACTCGCCTCTCTTTCTGATTCTGTTTGGCTTTAGGACCATTTGTTGTAAGTTCTTGTAACTGTAAGGGCCATGGTTACATATAAATATGCCGGGTCTCGACCCCAGAAGTCAGTCACAGCAGCCCAGCCATCCAAGAGATACTTATTACAGCAAAGCCCAGCAAGAGGATAACTATCTGAAGCAATGCATCTGATGAAGGGACTACTGATCGTGGTGTGCCTGGCGGCCTTTGCCAGCGGTGGGTGACCCCATTGGGTTCAAAGCCAACAACTGTCTATTTTAATTTTTCCACCTCTGATCCACAGCCAAGCCGCAGAACTTCCAGGTCTTCGGACGCCAGCGGGATGAGCCCGCGGCCCAGGGACGCCTCAGTGCCACCCAGCTGACCGACATCCTGAACAGCCTGAAGGGCAGCAGCAGCACCACCACCCTGGCACCCACCACCACCACCTTGCCCTCGACCAGCACGATCACCACCTCGCCCACGGGACCCACCACCTCGACTGGAACCTCCACGACCACCACCACGCCCACCTCCACTGGCACCACCGGCCGCCAACTGGAGCCCCTGGATGATCAGGAGGAGGATGACGAGGAGGAGCTGCAGCAGGTGGACCAGCAGCAGCACCGCTTCCAGCTGGAGGACGACGACGAGGAGGAGGAGCAGCACAACCAGGTGGCCCGCTCGCAGGCCAGCCGCCGCAGCCAGTTGAACGCCCGTCGCCAGCGCCAGCGGCTGCAGCAGAAGCACCGCCGCCGCCAGCAGCAGCAGCGCCGTCGCCGCCAGCTGCAGCAGCAGAAGCGCCGCCAGCAGCAGCAGCGTCGCCAGCAGCAGCGCCGCAGGAAGCAGCAGCAGCAGAGGCGCCGCCAGCGCCGCAACCGCCGCACCAACATGCGCCTGGCCAGCCGCTTCCGCCAGAGCACCCCCAACCGGAACCGCGTCATCCGCATTGCCGCCTAAGGCGGGAATTCCCCGGAAACCGATCTGAATTGACCCCCAATAAACTGCAATGAATCAAAAGTTCTATGGGCATTTTTCAACTGGAGGGGGGGTGGTCATCACTCTTTGTGTAACGCCTTAAAGTGAGAAGAAGCCCATTTGATAGGTCATCATAGCCTTTTTAGGATCTTTAAATTGTAAGTGAGGGATGAGGGGGTGGATGTCATCACTCCCATTTTTATCACCTGAAAGTTACAGGAATCCCATGTAAGAGATCATCAACGATACAATACCCTTTTCATGATTTTTAAATGGAAAGTGTGGTGGTGGGTTTAAGGTTAATGTTACAAGAACCCCCTTATAGATCATCAACTATACAATACTTGCATCTGCATTTAAATGGTAAGAGATTATAAATATTACCATAAGGCGAGAGTTATCCCTTTCATAGATGACCTACGATACAAAACTTCTTTGAGTATTTTACAATTGCAAATAAAGGGAGGTGATCAGGAATGTTACACCTATTAGTTATATCATCTTAAAGTTACATATTAACATAGCTCCCACTTCTCCCACTATCCATTATTATTTTTGTATTTATGATTTCTTAAGCTTTAATTTAGCAAATATTTAAGTTTAAGAAATCGTAAAACAGTCTTACAATTATTAGCACCTTTAAATCTAGACCACGGAACATCAAAGTCAAAATTTTTCTTGAACATTTTTAAAGTATCAACAAACATATCTTAAAGAACCACTAATGGTTTTAACAAACTACAACAATGAATTTTTTGTAAACTAACATCAATGCTGTTGAAATAGAAAAGCGAAAATAGTTGACAAAACTACGAATCAATTTTATTTTAAATTTGTTAAAATATAGGTTAAATTATTTTGTTATATTTTATTTTTTTTTAGTTGTTACCAGCGACTAGAAACTTTCAAAATAAAGGGGAAAAGGAGAATCCCTTTTTAAAAAATAATGGTTTTTGCCATGTTTACTTTTAAGTTTATATACCTTTTCGAAAGGAGATCTAAATTGATTTATGAGACCAATAGATAGTAAATGATAATCGTTTCGAATATTGCAGTGAAATTGAAAGTTGCAAAATCGTTGACCTACATAATATTTCCATCATTAAATAAAGGAACCATGGGATTTTAAATAGACACACTTATACAAAACATGCCAAAGTATTGAAATTGTTTTATGATTGTAACAGAAAGGACCTAAAAGAAGCTTGTAAAAACATAAATTTATAATAGTAATAAACCGTAGTTAGGCTTATGTAGGGAGCATTATTCGTATGTTTTATGCAGTTGTGTAGTTGATTAAATAGTTACACTCATTTTGACTGTTGTCAATAAGACATAATGCTATTTTGATAACCCAATAGGAAAATTAATTGTGTAGCCCAATATCATCAAATCGAGACTGTGTGTTTATCAATCACCACCCAATCGATGCGGCATACTAAAGCGAACTTCGGCTAAAATATGTCGCATAGGTCAAACTAGTTCAACGATCGCCGAGCGATCGGCGAAATTTATGCAAAAACTTTAGCGATTGTGCAAATTTGCGAAAAAGAAATGATAATGAGAAATATGGTCGCCGATTCTGGGCCGCTTTGTTGTTAGATCAGTAACTGGAGCGTGGGGTATATAACCCCGGCTGGCCGCTGGCAATATCACAGTCCACCGGCGACCTTCCCCCAGGCAAAGTCCTCCAGTCAAACCAAATCCAAAGGCTCAGTCCATTCGACAGGAAACACCCAGGAAATACCCAAGATGAAGTTCTTCTATGGCGCTCTGCTGATTTTGGGCACAGCAATTATTGCCCAGGCGGCTGGTGAGTTCACTTCCTACTCGGTGCTCCTTGAATTCCAATCAGTTCTTGTTATTGAACTTAAAAGATTTTCGAATTGCAAAACAAATTTAAATACCGTTCATGAAAAACAAAAAAATATATATATATTTCCAAAATATATATCCAATACTCTCTATAGCTTGATATTAAATGCACTTCTCTATGCAATAACATGGTTGGATAACTCCGCAATGTTATTTGCACTAGCTTTCTGATAGAAACACTATTTTTAAGCGTGTGAAATTCGAATTGAGTTCCTTATAAAACATATTATTAATAATTGAACCACCTCTTACCCCTAGTGGCCCGCTCCAACGATGAGTCCAACCAGGATGCCGTCCAGGAGTCCAAGTACCGCCTGTTCAAGCAGCCCTCCCACGGCGAGGCTCGCAACCTGCAGAATTGGTTTGCCTCGAAGCAGCCCGCCTGTCCGCCGACGGACACGAGCACCAGTTCACCCTTCACCTCAACATTCACCTTCCAGCCCACCGCACCCACCACCTCAACCGGCTATACCACCATCTACTCCACCCCGGACCCGGCCTCTAGCTCTCGCAAGCTGGGCAACGGCGCCAACAACCAGGAGCAGGAGGAGGACGATGAGGAGCTCGACCAGGAGGAGGAGAAGTACCTGAAGGACCACGATGACGAGCAGGAGGATGAGGACGACGACAGCGAGGACGAGAGCTTCAATCTGGCGGCGCCCAAGGCCTCCTCTTCCTCCTCGTCCGCCTCCTCGCTGCGCCGTCGTGGCAGCAGCAGCAGCACCTCCTCCGGTTCCGGAGCGAACAACGGCCTGTCCACCACCGAGCTGATGCACCAGCTCGAGCTGCGCCGGCAGCAGGACCTCAACGAGCAGCTGCGCCAGCAGCTCGCCGACGCCAACCGCCGGGCCAGCGAGACCCGCCGCCGTGCCGAGACCAGCCGCCGCCGGATGCGCAGGCAGCAGCAGCAGAGGCGCCGCCGCCAGAACCGCCGCAACCAGCAGCAGCGCCGCTCCCAGAACCAACGCCACCGCACCCAGCGCCTCCGCCAGCGCCGCAACAACCGACTCAACCGCCTGCGCCAGCGTCGCCGCGCCAACCGCCGCCGCAACTGAGGAGCTGACAGCTGACGGCTGACCTCTGACCCCGCCCTTCGACCTGTATGCGAAATGGTTTCAATAAAGCGAATATAAAAAAAAACACAATTTTTTTTTACTTTCTTGGGGGGTTGAGTGAAAATCCGCCCTAAAGGACCAATTCCTGAAGAACCTCGATGGCATATATCTTATCACTTTTTTGGGATTTTTACCAGGTGCACAGTCCTAAAGTTATCCTGAAAGGCATTACTTTCGTTTTAAGGTCGTGCGATTTATTTCGGCAAATTTGGAACAAAAACCCATTAAAAAAGGTTGTTGATAGCCATATTCGGTAAAAATAAGGGTCAGATCTTGTTGAATTCGTTACAAAATTTCCAATCCATTGGTATTCCCACCCAAATTTTACCAATTCAACCTGGAATTGATAGTATAGGCTCTCAGTTGCACAAAACAGTCATTCTTTTGGCGAAGTTGGAACAAAAATATGTAAATATACCCAACCGAAACCTACTCTTAGCTAAAACGTCTCAAAAAAGAGTTAAGGAAGAAGATAAGCCCAGAACAGACAGATTCCTGTAAACGCAAATTTAGCAAAGTCTTCAAAAACCTTACCAACTCTCTGCACTTATCCGTATTTGTTTTTATGTTCCTAAATACGCAAATCAGTTGTAAAATAATCTCAATGACTTTATCAAATCTCCCATTTCATCAAATAAAGTTAAATGAATACCAGACACCATTAGGAGTACAATACAAATTTAGTATTTATACCCGTTACTCGTAGAGTAAAAGGGTATATTGTATTCGTGCAAAAGTATGTAACAGGTAGAAGGAAGCGTTTCCGACCCTATAAAGTATATATATTCTTGTTCAGGATCACTAGCCGAGTCGATCTAGCCATGTCTGTCTGTCCGTCTGTCTGTCCGTCTGTCTGTCCGTATGAGCGCTGAGATCTCTGAAACTATAAAAGCTAGAAGATTGGCATTTTGCATGTAGATTTGAGGAGTTCCTACGCAGCGCAAGTTTGTTTCAAAATGGTGCCACGCCCCCTCTGACGCCCATAAGCCACAAGCTGTGGCCACAGTTTTGATGATATTATGAAAATTTTAATTGATATGTATTTGTTTCGTCAATAAATATCGATTGGCCTAATAAAAGTTTGCCACGCCCACTCTAACGCCCAAAAACCCATTAAACGCTTTAGCCTGGCTAGCGCCTACATTTCGGCCTCTTATGGCGCCATCTAACGGATGACTTTGGAACAGCTGACCAAGGTGTTCAACAGAGTCAACGTTAATTCTCGATAAGGATTTCTATTAAAGGAAATTGCGATGGTTTTCATTTGTCAATACCGAACTATATCCCAAGAACTATGCAAATCAAATCAAGTTAGCCAAATTGGAGGTCTGAGTCAAACAATGGCGTATTTATGTAAGCATATACATATGTATGTATTTACATTGTACACAGTTGCAATTGCCCGGCAAAGATAACTCCTTTCAAAAAAGCTATTCATTTAGACTTTAATATACATAATACTATTTAAGAATGTATGTGTTTAGCCAATATAAGTATGTATGTTTAATATTTCTAGTCAATTTATTACAAGAAGGGATATTTATATTAAGTTGTTTAGCTGAGTAACGGGTATCTAATAGTCGAGGCACTCGACTATTGCGTTCTCTCTATATTTCGTTCTATTCAAATATTTCATACTTAAACAGTGCGACTTAGAAGGACTTGGGCCTTATCATCATTTCGACAAAGGTAAGTGATTCAGACCAATCTTCATGCCATGAGTACCAATTAATTCCTCCATAACCTTGGCCATATTTGAAGTATTTTCCATTGAGCGCACTGTAATTTTAAGTGATTATAGTAAGGAGATTTAATGAGAGCAAAAAGAAACAGGTATACCTGTATGAACAGAGCTTGTGCCACCATGGACCATCATCATCGGCACAATTTACTGTACTATGATTGTCATTATCCCGATCAAATGTGGAGAACATTTGGTTCTTACTGTATGTAAGGGAGTCTCCGGCTTCACCAGAATATTTCCCTAGATTCTTCAACTCGTAGCCTTCCTCCTCACTCCCAATCATAAAGTCATCGTATTGAGCGTAGCTGGTGGATCCATTAACACTCCCAAGTTTAATGTAGAGTTCGTGGGGTCGTGCCTCAGTCATCCGATGCAATTTTTCCAGCCCGATGAAGAATTCTCCACTGACATTCCCAAATCCAGATTTATAGTCATTCCAGGTTCTATTGAAGTTCTCGGATCCGTCAATGCGTCTCTGAATTACAGTATAACCAGGTGGAGAGGACGCACATGGCGCTGCAAAGGGTTCCAGACCCCGAAGCTTTATTTGGTAAATCCCATTGGGACTGCCATTGGGACAAGAGTCAGGTAAATTTTCATCAGTTTTCTGCAATTCAGAAAGCTGACTAGATAGTTCGGATTTTGTTTTCTCAATCGCTTTAATTTGAGTCATCAGGTCAGAGATTTGTTCATCTCTATTTTTACAGTGTTCATGCTGGCTTTTGATTTGCTCCACTTTTAATTTGGTTTGACCTTCGGATATGTTTAACTGACTCTGCAAGTCTTTTATGGTGTCTTGTAAGGTATTTACTTGACTTTCGTTAGCATCCGCAGTTATTTTCATCTGAACAAAATGATTAAGAAAAAATAATAATCATTGCATTAGTTTTCAATATTTTAATTAGTTGGTTACTGCGGTAAATCCTAATTGAGCTTATACAAAAAAGTTGATGTTCTTCCAAAAGAAAAAAATCGAACAATTTCAAAATACGCCGAGAAATGGCAGTGTAAGTTCAAAACTAAAATAAGTGCTAGGAAAGAAATTTGAATATTACCTAGTAAAGCTCTACATAATGCAATAGCATAATTCCAGTGCAGTAATATTAGCTCCAAAAACTCTTACTTTTTCGCCTTCTTTAGATGCAATTTACATATGATCAGAGATAAGCACTTCCGATAGGAACACGAAAGGATGTCTGTCTATCCGTAACTCACCGTCCTAAGTTCCTCCATTCTGTTCAATCCCACATCCAGTTTGGCCTGCAGAGCCTGAATTGAATTCGCGAAGTCTTTTTTTGTGATTAGATCCTGCAGTTGGTTCTTCATTCCGGCCTTCAGATCTTGTCCTTGCGCCATGGTCATCCTAAAGGAATCCTTAAGGGCTGTCTGCCCTGCCTCGATTTCATCCAACCTTTTTCGGATATTGCGAGTGTGGTCGAAAAGCGGGCTGAGTGCGGCCAGGCAAAAGGAGCCACACTGTCTTGGTTCATCTTGGAGAGCACAGAACGACTGATCCTTTGAATTGAACCCAATTCCTCCTTGTACACTTGGAAAAATTAATAAGCCAAGCAAATAGGATAATAGTCTCAGCATCTTAAGTTGTTCGACCTACTCAAAACGAATTCAAAATATGTACTGAAATGAAGCTGGTAGTTGAAGAAACAACGAAGCCTAAAATATTAGAAAATAGTACGTGGCCTTCCTTATCTCTAATCCGTCGGCCAACAATTGGAAAAACCCAAATCACCAAATATATATGGAAAACCACAAATAAACATTTTTGTTTTTTTAAATCATCAACAGCGGGATATTTGCATAGTTATTAAAATAATCTTTTGCTTCGTTTATTTGAGCTTGTATCTGCGGCAACATATTGATAGACACACAAAATCTTTAAAAATGTTTTTATTTTTGTAATGTTTTTGATCGAATCTAAATGTTATTAAAAAGGAGCTAAAAAAAGATAACTTTAACTAACTTGTCATCAAGGATTTGAACAAAATTGCACGATGAATGATAATATAAAATACTAAGAAATGAAAGGCATACCAATATGTTAGAATAAAGGTAACTGAAATGGTATAAGCCATTTTACAATTAATTATATGTTTTACGACTGAGAGCCCTTAAAAATATTGATAACTTAATAGCATATTTTGTATATTTTAAATTATGGTTTCCTATTTTTCGAAAATGAGAAGCTGAAATGATTTGTGGGTCACTTTCGCAGGCTGTGGGCCACCTTCGACCCGGCGGCTTCAATTAGAAATCAATTTCAATGGATTTTCACTTTTTTAGAGTCCACTCCAGCGAAAGCCCAAGGCGCTGCAGAAACCAGAAGACCAAAAGACCAGAAGACCAGAAAACCGAAAGCCCAATGGCGTTCCGCTTGGCCGAAAGGCCCATGGGATGACCGGCAGAACCCGGTTGACGATGATGACGGCGGAGAATATTGAAAATAGCTAGCAGCGATTTGCGATTTGAGCCACCGCAGATCAATTGAATTTCAATTGTGTACACAGCTTTACCGTTTGTTGGCACTTTACGATCGTTTGCATTCCATCAGCGACTATAAAAACCCCTGAGCCGGGCCATCGAAATATCAGAGCCTGATTGTCCAGCCATCGGCGAGCAACAGAAGTCACCCAGATTTTGGTCCACCCGAAAAGTTCTCTGCCCAGAGTAGTTTCCCGTAAAACCACCAACAAAAAAAAAAAACAAAAAGCTGAAAAAGATGAAGCTGCAAACCGTTGTTGTCCTTTTGGCCCTCGGCCTCTTGGCCGTCCAGGCGGCGCCCGAGAAGAAGGTGGCCCAGAAGTCGCGCCAGGCGGAGTCGCAGGAGGCGAAGGTGGGCGTGGCAGGGGCAGCGGGAGCGGGAGCAGGAGCGGGAGCTGCTGCCAGCTCTACCGCCAAGGATCCCTCCAGCGGTCGGCTCTTCCTGAAGAAGTTCCTCACCTTCAAGAATCTGTTCAGCAGCAACAACCAGCCGGTGATCCCGATCATCATCACGGGTGCCGGAACGGGCAGCGGCACCGGCACCTCCACCTCCCCCACCACCCCCCGACGATAACGGTGACCTCGACGGGCACCGTACCCTCGGCCACGGGCACCATCACCACCTCGCCCACCTCATCACCCACGACTACCACCACGGCCCGGCGAACGATTGTCAAGGGGGCCCGCTACGGCAGCGACGATCAGGAGGAGGAGCAGGAGCAGGACCACGACCAGGATATCGAGAAGGAGCAGGATCAGGAGCAGGACCAGGAGCAGGACCAGGAGCCGCAGCTGGCCGCCCAGGCCTATCCCGCCGAGCTGATGGACGAACAGGCACTGCAGGCCGCCCTGGCAGCGGGTGCCCAGGAGTACGAGGTGGTCACCACCGGTCTGGAGGTGCAGGGCACCGCCGGCTCCTCCGGCGAGAGCAAGGCCCAGAGCAACCACATCAGTCTGCGCCGCAAGGGCGCCCGCCGCGGCCAGGTGATCAGCGTCCGCATCCCACCCCGCTACAGGCGCTACTTCAAGAACGGCCAGAAGGTGATGCTCAACACCGGCAGTCGGCCCTCCTCCAAGCGCCGCGTGGTCCGCCGACGTGTGCCGGCCAAGAAGCTGAACAAGAAGAACAACAACAATAGGAAGAACGTGAACAGGAGGCGCAACGGCAACAAGAAGAACCGTCGCAATCGCAACAAGAACCGTCGCAATCGCATCACCGCCGTCTAAGGACCCTGGATGAAAAGCGGAGGATCCCATTGCCCTGGATCCCCAATCCGGCGAATAAACCTTTTTTTTTTTTCTAATTTATTGTAGCCTAACTCGACACTGCCACACTTCCTGCGGCGGAATGTACCCTTAATAAAGCCCTTTCAAAAGTACTTGCCAGTTTTTTTTGATTTTTTCGAGGCATTGGAATCAGTTGGGAAACATAAATTAAAAATATTTCATCTCTAAAGCATTACAAACTTTAAATGACATTGTAAAAGTACTCTAATTAATTACTAGTGAAACCAGTTTTGAATATAATAATTCACTGATATTTTATTATTTTCTGGGGCACTTGTTAAGAAATATTTAATGGCTCAGTAAGTTTCACAAATTGAAAATAATGCAAACTACTGTGTGAGGTTATACCATTACTAAAGCCTTTTTAAAGTACTTTTATTATTACATTTAAATTTGAAATATATATATTATTTCGGAACTTAAATAAGATTCAAATGCCAGTTCTAAATATTGCCCTTAACTAGACAATAGTTTTAAAATTGCTTGTAGCATTGAAATGAACTCATTATACTAAGAGTATTATAAAGACTATAAAAGATAAAGATAACACTAATCGTATAATTACACAACTTCTGATTAGTTTAAATTGAAGCCAGGTGTAATGGTATATTTTTAAAATCTACAAATAGTTTACATATATTTTTGGCCCACATATGAACAGAGCGATAAGATTCGGCGATCAAGAACCACAACCAAAGATCGGAGATCGTTGATCTCCGGGGGCAAACAAAGGCAGAAAACAATTGTGGCTTCTTAATTCGCAGCCAATCGCCTTTATGGGCATAGAAGCAGTGAAATAATTTTGTAAAAAGTACGCACTTGACCCACATTTCTGGGCCGCGATCGCCCAAGAGATCAGATCGTGGCGAATGATGGGGCACATTTTGGGTATTTAAGCGGCTGTTTAGCCCGGGGCCTTGGACAAACATGGATGGACTCCGATTGCTGATCGCTCTGGTCGCGGCTTTGCTCTTGGCCCCTTCGATTCCGGAGATCTCGGCCAAAAGCTGTGGACAGCGGCTCCAACTCCGTTCCCAAAACGAAGCCATAGATCTCAGTCGGCTGAGCGAAAGGCAGTTGCAGCAACTCGTCCAGCAGTTGGCCCACCTTCAGTCCCGGAAAGACAAGGATGAGGTCGAAGATCAGGCGGAGGAGGAGGACCAGAACCGGGTGGAAGACCAGCAGCAGGACGACTTGGAGGACCCCGAGGATGATCACCGCGGTGGAAGTCGTCCGTGGAACAGAGTGCAGCGCATCATCCGGCGACAGTTGGTGAAAATACCCAAGAGATATCTGAAGAAGCTGCTCAGGCAGTTCGGATTGGCCAGGAGTAGCGGATACGGTGGGGTCAGGAGCTCGGACATGGTGCCCCAACTGGAGGAGTACTACCTCATACCGCTGGAGTGAAATAAAGCGAGGGAAATCACACGGCCTAAAAATACCGCCTTTTTAGTTGCATACTTTCGGGCGCGGACCTTCAAGAACTGACTTTTTTGAGCCTATTTCTTTTATTTTATGAAGAATGTTTATTCAGTATTTCCTTGACATATCTTTATTTATCTGAATCTAACATGATTAATGTATTAGCTTAGATTGCTTTATTTTTAAAACTGTTGACACCTTGGGAGCATCTTAATAACACCTATCTTAACAAGAATTAGTTGAATAAATGTCTCAACTAAATAGTTAAAACTATTATGGGGGCTTTATTTTTTACGAATTGATTTTATTATTATTATGAGATCTTTATTCTGTTCGGAAATGTTTATATTTATTTATTTATCCGTGGTAAAAGTCACCCTTAAAATATGTTGCAACATTTAAAGGGGCTAACGTGTCGTATAACATAACAAGATAAATTAGTGTTTTCTATGTTTTTCAATTACCTACAAATACTATCTATCTATTATAGTAGCGATTATGAGGATTTCCATGAATTCCTTATCTTTTATAAATCTAATTGTGATTCCATTCGAAAAGCTATGCCACCGATCGTGTTGAAAAGCTTGCCCCCACTTATGTTTAGCTTTTGAACAGCTGTTTGACTTGGCCAGCGATAACTTGTTGGGATTATGGGGTTTGTCACACGTTCCCGAGGAGAACAGGCGAAAACTGCTGTTTGCTGAGTTATTTGCCGAGCAGAAGTCCAGCCAGAATGTCAGTGGGAGTGCTAGCGGGTAAAGTGGCCCTGGTAACAGGTGGGTGTTGGATTGCACTTTCCAGGCAACTGATGTTTGTAATACCATGATTATATTTCAGGCGCCGGCTCGGGAATCGGACGTGCCACCTGCCGTATTTTGGCCAGAGATGGAGCCCAGGTGATCGCCGCCGACCGAAATCTGCAGGCGGCCCAGGAAACCGCCCGGGAACTGGGCTCCGAGCGATCCGCCGCACTGGAGGTGGACGTGTCCTCCGCCCAGAGTGTCCAGTCCGCGGTGGCCGAGGCCCTCGGGAAGTTCTCGAAGGCACCCAGCATTGTGGTCAACTCGGCTGGCATCACCCGGGATGGCTATCTGCTCAAGATGCCCGAGCGGGACTACGACGACGTCTACGGGGTGAACCTGAAGGGCACCTTCCTGGTGACCCAGGCCTTCGCCAAGGCCATGATCGAGCAGAAACTGGAGCAGGGCAGCATCGTGAACCTCTCCAGCATTGTGGCCAGGATGAACAACGTGGGCCAGGCCAACTACGCGGCCACCAAGGCCGGCGTGATCTCGTTCACGGAGGTGGCCTCCAAGGAGTTCGGCAAGTTCGGCATCCGGGTGAACTGCATCCTGCCGGGCTACATAGACACGCCCATGGTGGCGGTGGTGCCCGACTCCGTCAAAGAGCAGGTGGTGCAGCGCTGTCCCTTGGGAAGATTGGGTCAGCCGGAGGAGATCGCCGAGGTGATCGCCTTCCTGGCCTCCCCACAGTCCTCCTACGTCAATGGGGCCGCCATCGAGGTCACCGGGGGTCTCAAGTGAAAACATAGAGAATAAGAATGTGCCACTTACAGGCAGTACAATTTCCCCATCTCGAAACTCCCCAACTCCCAAGGTAGAACTTGATGTATAACATAGTACTTTATATATACCCTACATATACATATATACAGGTGAAATCAAGTGACTATACATATGTATGTGGGGTGGGCCCAGAACATTGCATTTACTTGTCCAGCCATTTAATGAAGTTTTTTTGTTCCTAAATATATAAATATCGCAATTTTACTACCATCTGTTTGGGTTTTAACTCCATATGGTTTTCTTTATTTATTTTCCTACTTATTAAGGAAGGTGCATGGTAAAAGGCTATAATCTTAAAACATATTACCGAATCAAATTTAGAAACATGTTTTCTAATCAGAACTTTGACCTTAGGACAACTACACCTATTGATTTTGTCTACTGATAAAAAAACGCCATCTAGTAGTGATCTTTATTCCCAATCACAGAGCTTTTCGGTCTATCGATACTATCGCTTAAAAGACTTGGAAATAGTTTAATATATTTATAAAAAATTATATATTTAAAACTTGGAAATAGGTTACAAAATTATAAAAAATTATATATTTACCTCTCCAACAATTATTTTACCTTTCTTTTAATAGAAAAAAAGTATTTGTTTATTTGACAGCATGATAACAGGTATTTCTTATGGGCAGCATTTTACAAGTAATCCTTGTGCCTAAAAGTATGCCAGCAAAATGCGCTCCAAGTCTATATATTTGATTGATTATTCCTATCTGCCATGTGTATACACTTTCGATCGGTGGGTTCAAGCGGAAATCTATGCTCCACTGGGTGAAACCACCGCGAAATCCCCCTCCCTTTCGATTGACCACAAAAGGACCATTGAAGTGGGAAACGGAATGTGCGACACGGCTTGTTGTGGTTTATTGACGGGGCTTTCGGGTGGGTATTTGGACCTAGACCCACCGAAATGTACAATATTAATATATTTCACAATTCCCCAGCTGCTAATTAACTCAGTGGCACACACACACACTGTCGCAGGGGGAGATATATGCATGTCAAGCGACACACACACATATGTTTGAGTGGTGGTTGGATGGTGGGATGGTTGGGTGGTGCAGAGGGTGGTTCTGTGGTCGTGCGTGCAATTTAAATAATGAAGACATTTTATTAATTCAAGAAATCCAACTCTCCCATACTGGCCACGCACACAGAGACAGCAGCACCCACACACAAACACAAACACAGACGCATAGAGCAGCAATTACAGTGGCCACCCGACATTAAGCAACCTCCAACCACCGACACCACCGCACAAAGGCGCACACAAAACTTGCCAGGCATTTTGGGGTTAGGGTCGACGGGCGGAAAAACCACCCACACCCCACCGAATCACCGCCCACCGCCACCAAACCACCAGCTGTTGGCTGGTGCGTTTCCCATTTCCTTTGGTTTTTAGTGCATAGTGAAAAACAAAACATTTGCTAATCATATGAAGCGACCCTGAGCTGCCGCTCTTTTTATACACTGAAAAAAAAAGAATTGCATTGGGAAAATCATAGAAAAATGTGGTAGTCCCTTCATTTTTTTTCCAAGTCCTCGGCAATTCTACAGTTTTATGTTTAAAAATTAAGTTTTTACTTAACTCCTTAAAAAGTAGTTAAGTTACTTATTCGATTATGTATTTAATAAGTACCTTTTATCGAAATAAAGTTATTTTTCTTGCTGAGTTACAAAATCTTCGAATTCGAAACCAATTTACATTTTGATTTTATTAATTAAGAACCAATTTAAAAGAAGCATGGTAATATTAAAAAAATATATATTATATTTCTTAGAAAAAAATAACCATGAAAATGAAAAAAACATAATTATTGATATTAAATGTAGACTTGTAGCGTTTTCATTCACAACTTTAATGGTTATTGGTTTGTGGACAATAATTTAAAGCATTTATATCAGTCAGTCAGTGATTTTTCCCAGTGCACCCATCCACCTGTCCCTGTCGCTCCTTCGACCGCTCTCTTTGTAGCAATTAACAACGCAGTGCGACACAAGCGGCGACGACAAGCCAACACTTGAGCCATAAACCAGCCCAACACGACCCCCGGAACGACCCCAAAAAACCCCAATTCCTGGCCCCGAACCCCGAACCCCGAGTCCCCCTTAAACCACCCACCACCCACCACCCAAAATCCCCCAAAAACCGTCGACTTCGGAGCGACCAGCGCTTTGGCACTAGCCATATCTCATGTTAATGAAATCGTAACTCTTCGGGCGCCTCGTGTCCGTTTTTTGTGCCATCTCATGTCCTCAGACAAAAAAGGCATCCAAAAAGGAGCCGAGGGAGCCCGAAAGGATGTTGGATCGCAGAGCTGGGTGATTAACGCGCCGGGAAAACTCCGCACGACTTCACGGGAATCGGAGTTTCAGCAGGAGATGGTACACTTTCAACGAGTTGCGGTTTGAAAATGGTAAACAATATCTCCATAAGGTGAAGAAATGAAATATACATTTGTACCAATGAGAAATCTATTATTGAAGGAAATAAATATTATTCGATTGATAATAAAAAAGTGTAAGTTAAATCTTGAAAACTGCTCTTTTAAATTTGAGATCTCAAGTAATTAATATGTATATCATTTAAAATTTCAAAAAGAGTCTTAAGAATTCGATCAAGTTAAACACATAAAAAAGAAATCATATTGTGTGTCTTTTCTTGATTATTCCATCTAATTAGGCGAAAATAACTGAAACTCAAATCGAGTATTCCAATTATTGAGGGGTAGACTTTCAGAAAGGGAGCTCGAAAGAGTTCCAACTTATGTCAGTTGCACTGGCTTCACTTTTCCCAGTACATTGACTCTTGACATTTGCCGACTCACGTTAGTTTCAGTTTTCGAGAGTTTCCTCTTCGCTTTTTCCAATGAAAAAAAAAACGCTAATTAACACAGCCAACCGCAATTGCAACTTCCTTCTGGCTAAGTGCACGTATGTTCCAGCCCCAACGCCACCACCCTCTCTAACCACCACCCCCTAGCACACCACGCCCACCGCCCAACGCCCCCAGCGAGCCACGTGTGACAGCGAGGGTCGTTCGGTGACAAAGGGCAACTAATTTAGTTTAATGGGCGTCGTGCGCGACTTTGTTGCCCACAGCCGCAGAATTTCTTGCGGCCAACACTTGCCTCCAGGGGCGGCGAAAAAGGGGGCAACGAAAAGGGGGAAGGATGGGGGTGAAAGGGGTCGGGGGTCAAGGGTCAGGAGTGGATCGGTGGGTGGCTGGGCGGTTGGGCGGTTGGGCCACCCTTACGCACTCTCATTAAGCATTTTTAGTCGAGCTTAGCGAGCCGTTTGTTTGCACTGTCAACTCTGCAACTCTGGAAAACTGCACTTAGAGAAATCAAAAGTATTTGAAAAAATATTTTTTAAATATTTAATATTTAGTTCAAAAAAATTAATGAATAATTAATTAAATCTATTATGAAATAGATAATGCACCAAAGTAAGTAAACTATTTAAGTACAAATTTTTTGGTAAATTTTGTTTTTAATTAAATTGAATGCTTGGATCATATTTAAATATTGTTATATACCCACCTTTGGCGCCGCTTAAATTATCCACTTTCCCCCAATTGAATCCAATTTCTAGCAGTGTAGCAACGCCGTCAACTCCCAGGCAACTTGCCATAAATTAACACACATGACTGGCGGTGGTGGTGGTGCAAGTGGTGCCAGTGGTGGAACATTTTCATTTCACTTTTGTTTGTTTGATTTTTGGCTTTTTGCAGCTAGCTGACAGTTGGTCCTTCCGACCTGGGCAAATTAAAAATGTTTTTTGCCCCCCCCATTCCCCCTATTTGTCTTTCGTCTTTGATGTCCAACTCCCAACTCGCTTTTCTTGTTTTTTTTTCAATACATTTTTATTCAGTTTTTTTTTCTTTTCGTGTTTAACTTTTGTGTGTGTTTCATGCTGCTTATTTGCTTTTATCATTTGCATTTTGTAAACAAAAAACATTTGTTCGTTTCGCGCTTAATTGGCGAAACTAATAAAATACCCACAGCTAATAAATATAGCAAAAGAGCGGAGTAATATTTACTTTTTCTGGGATTCCTTAGATGAAATACGCTCGCTTATCAAAATATAATGCTTAGGGCTATGAAAAAAAATGCATGTATATATAACTAGGGCTAGGTCTATATTTTAAATATGCGTGTGTATCTTTAGTTAGGCTACAACTAGGATAATTAGACCGTTATACACTTAGAAGTACACTTAGCACAATTGAACTGACGAATTGAATACGTTTACGCTCTTCTCATTTCTATTTCTTTTTTTTTTTTTGGTTTTTTCGTTTTTGTGTTTTTTTTTTGTCATGGGCGTTTTGAGATGTATGGGCGTGTCATAAGTTAAGGCGACTGTCAAGATCTAGCTTCTATATTTATTTAACCGCATAACGCACTATCGAAATCTAAGTTCTAGCTTAGAGTTCCGGGCGAGATAAGATAATGCTACATGATTCAGAAGAAGTTGATGTGGGGGCGGTACCGATCTGAAGGGCTTCCACCCCCGACTTAAATACTATCAGGTACTTTGGCATTTCGTTCGCTTACTCGCTAACCATTCAACTGAATGTCTTTATGCTTGTATATATATTCGTTAACATTTAGAATATACTATATCCGTGTATACATAATTGAATTCTTTTTTTTTTTTCATTTCTATATTTTTTTGCGAGTTCTTAAGGGGCATTTGTTGTGGGGGAAGGAAAAGTTAAATATTAATTAAGTTGTGAAAAATATTGAACGCTGTGTAGCTATTTAAAATTGTCTAGTAGATTGATAGAACACCATATGAAAAGTAATGTATTTGCTGTTACAAACCTAATTGAAATGTAGTTAAAGGATATAAAATTAAGACTGTGAGGGTAAAAAATATATAAAAGCTGAGAACAAGTTCAGAACGGTTCTCGCATACTCGTGATTCCCCCACAAAAAAACCCACTAGAACACCGAATTTTGTAACTGGAGGTTAAATCACCAATCAGTTAACCATTACATTAAGGCGTTTTCTCAACAAGCAGTAAAACTCTCTAATCCTCCTAATTCTTTTCTTTTTTCTGTTTTGTAAATGCTTAACACTCATTCTTTGAAGCTTAGTCTCTCTCTAGATCGAACTGGGTATTAGCCTACTGTATACGACTCCTAAGTTAAGAACACAAAAACGACAAAAAAAAAAGAATCCTAGAACTAGGGACTAAAAAAATGATGATGCTAAAGATCGGCTTACGATTACGTCTATATAATCAGATGTGTGTGTGTGTGTGTGTGAGGGTGTGTGTGAGCTAAGTGCCTAATCCTAAGCAATTCGAATTTTTGGTAGCTGAAAAAACGCACCACCAACAGTGATGCCCCCCTAAAGCAGCCGCCGGGGCCTCGTTTTCCATTTGAGATCAGTCTTAGCGTGGCTCAGTGGGTCACATCGTTGTTGGTGGTTCCTGGTGACGACGGTGGTGCAACCGCAGTCGCCTAAACGGCGGTGGGTGGTGGCAGCAGCGATGAGTTGGAGGACCTCAGATAGGGATTGCCATAGATGGCGCTGTAGCGCGGATCCACACTCAAGGCCATCGAGCCGGGCACCACCACATGGGTGGTGGTGGTGGTGGTGGCCGCGGTGGTGCTCTGATTGCTGCAACTCCCGTTCGGCGACGAGCTGACCACCGAGGCGGTGGTCGACTGCAGGCTGGGCAGCCCGTTCTCCTGCCGGATTTCGCGCGATCCGATGATGCTCCCGGTCAGACTGCCACCGCTGCTGTTCGTGAGGAAGGTCATCGGCAGGGTCTGTGGATTGGCGGCCTGGTGGTGGTGGGGCTGGTGGTGGTGCCTGTCCGGGTGCCTGTCCTGGTGGACCTGCTGCTGCTGCTGCAGCTGCAGCTGGTTCTGGTGGTTGTTCTGCAGAATGGTGGAGCTGCCGTTCGACTTCGTGGAGCAGGTGGTCAGGTACTGCGGCGGCGGGCTGTAGTGCGTACTGTAGTCGCCGTAGGGCACATAGCCCCCCGATATGTCCACCTTCAGATCGCTGTAGTTCGACGTACGGTCGCCCGGTTCCAGTTTGCAGCTCACCCCACCGTTCTTCGTGATCTGATGTTCGCTGATCACGTCCGCCGGCGGCAGCTTGGTGCGCTTCTTGCACTTGATGTAGACCACCACCAGGATGGTGAGCACCAGCAGGAAGGCCACCACCGAAATGCCACCCACAATGGTCATCAGCAGGGAAACACTCTCTGTGAAAAACACAAGAAAATAGGGGAAATTCGACTTAAGTATGGTGAAAACTAAAAAGCAAATAACTTATGAGTGACTAAATGACCAATAAAAGAATGGAAACAAGCTTACAACCCATGGTATCTAATGGAAACATCCTTTTTTTGTATGCAAAAATGTTAAAAACAAAAATATCTTAAATATTTATAAATTTTGTGTTGATGTACTTTTATAAATGTATTAAAATAAATGACTTCTGTAAATAGGCAAATTGATAAATGCCTATATTTATTAAAGATATTGTGAGAATATATAAAACTATGAAGAATCAACCAATAAGGTTTTTTATATAAAGGTAAACCAAAGTATTAGTTTAAAAATTCATAAAAAATAAGTATGCGAATAATACCTGTCGATGGAATGTGCTTTTGTGGCACTTTGTTTTAACCTATAGCTATATGCTAACAGTATATGTGGTTTTTTTCTTAGCCCTAATAAATATATATTAAAAGCCTTATTGGCCACGACTAAATATTTATCCCAGGAGTACTCACTTTTGGCCTGCAGCTGAATCTCGGCCACGTCGTTGCCGTAATCGTTGACGACCGTGCAGTTGTACTTGCCGTAGTGGTACGCCTGGCTGTCCCTGATGATGAGGGTGCTCTTGACGCCGCCGGGCACCGCGTCCACCAGGATGGAGTAGTCGTGGCCGGACTCGGAGCTGATCTCCTGGCCATTGAAGGTCCAGGAGACGTGGCGGGCGCGGGGCACGCTGCTGGCGAAGCACTCGATGCGGGCGGTGTCGCCCACCAGGCCGTACTGCGTCCTCTGGGATCCGATCGCCGGCGAGCCCTTCAGGTAGACATAGGCGTCCGCCGAGATCTCGGCGTAGCCGGGCACATTCGCCTTGCAGTAGTACCGCCCGGCCGTCTCGTTGCTCACGCTGAAGGTCAGGTTCGTGCTGGTGCCCACCACGCGGTCGCTGGGGTGCTGGATCCACACGATCTCCGGCTGCGGATTGCTGTCCACCTCGCAGCCGAGGGACACCACACTGCCCACGTCCGCCTCCATCGACTGCGGTCGCTGCCGGAAGCTGGGCGCATCTGCAGGTGAAACGGCGAAAATTGAATAATATTAACTAATGCAAATTACGGAGAAACAGAAAATGTTTTAATATTTATATTACTCATGGCCATAAAATGTTTTCAAAAATCAAAAACTTCTGAAAGCGATTTAAAGAGCCTTGGAAAACATTTCCATAATTCGTTAAAGATATATATATTTAAAAGATTTCATATTCCAAAATCTGTTATTCTTTTTACAATAACAAAATAATGTTTCTAACTACTATTAATACAAAATAATAAATATCTAATAGAAATGGAAAATTTACTGCTTTTATTTAACAAACTAACAGTTTTGGCCAATACTTTAAATATTGAAACTTCCAATTTGTACATAAATATAAAACCCATTACTTTACATATTACCCATTAATTTTACATAGAAAAATCATTTTTTCATAAGTCTATTAATTTATACAACAAAAAACACACATAGAATAAATACAGCCTAAGGAAACATAAATTTGCACAATAATTTAAATATTTTTTTCTTTCTCTATTTCATTAGAGTTTCCTCCCCATTTCAACATCAAAAATTCTGTTTTAATGTGATTTTGCCAATAATTTGATGCCCAAAGCAATGTGATGTTGACTTATGGAAATTTGCAAATGTAGGTGTCAACAATTTACTTTAGGTCTATAAATATTTGTTTATTTTATTTCACTTTTTTTTTTGATATTAACAACGATTTGTAAATACATCGAAATGACAGGTGCAAACTTTTGAGTGAAAGCAAGTTTTGTTTTTATTAAATGGAAAAACTAATCGATGTTTTGTCATATATAGTTTTGATTTTTTGATTCTACCTATACTCTAGTTTTTTTGTTACTATTTTTATGTTGAATTTGCTAGTTTTTTCAGGACTACTTACAGCTTATGTCAAGGGTTTCGCTGTCCTCGCTCTTGCCCACGGAATTCTGCACCTCGCACTTGACAATCGCGTCGTGGAACTTGCGCGTCACATTGCGTATCACCTGGGAAAAGGGGAAAAACGGGAGAGAGGGTCGATCCATGAGTTCCAGTTGCGGTTAATTGTGGGAACGTTAGGCCTTTCCGGTGGCGATCTAACTGGTTCCAATAATTGCCAACATTATACAACAGCATGGGGCAGCATTTTAATCGCAATAGTTGCTCTAATTATGCGCCAGCCTGCCAAGTGGAATGTGGACCAGTTTTTCCCCAAGGAGGAAATCTCGGGGGAAAATCAGTGGGGGGGGGGTGATGGAAAAGCGGGGGGAAATATGAGGAGGAGCGCCACTTACCATCTCTGTCTTCTGGCCGCCAATGATCGGTTCGTCGTTTATGAACCAGCGGTACCGGACATCGCTGGGATTCGCATCTGCCCGGCACTCCAGCCGCACCTGCGAGTGCTCCACAATCCGGGCACCGGCGAAATGGACACCACTTGCCCCACCTGCACCACCTGCACCACCGGCAGATGCAGATGCACCACCGGGCAGCGATCCCATCACATTCACCTTCACCTTGGGCGCGTATTTAACCTGGAAATTAGAGAGAAAGATGGGAGATATTTAAAATATATCTTAAAGTATTGGTTTTCTTATTGGTATTTGTATTAAATGTTTCGAAAAAATATCAGCTCATAATAAGGACTTCAAATACATTTTTAAGTATTCAAAATACTGAATTCACTAACTCTCTCCTTTTCCAGTGGGAAATCTTAATATGCAAGATTTAAAATGCTAAAACTATGAATAATACTTTTTAATGGCATTAAAAACATTGCCTTAACCATCCTTGCAACCATATTCTTAGTCATTTTTTGGGGCCTGTTGTACTACGAATTTATGTCCCAAGTCCTGGCATGCTCCAAGTTGGCCCTCATTCAGCTCATTCGGCTCAATCAGCTGGGGATCCCGGCACTCCTTGGCCCGACATCTTCGTCAGGGATTTGTCAGCGCCATGGACATGTGACTGCCCCGATATCCCGCTCCCCCGAAAAACCAGGCCAATGACAAGTGGGCTGAGGTCAGGTCTTTGTTGGCTGCTCACTTTCACACCCCTGCCGAAATGGGATGGAGTTTGGGGACCGGGGTTCGGGGTTCGGGATTCGGGGAGCCCATGATGGGCGCCTTTATGTCCGGGCATGAATTAGCCCGTCAGTGTCGTGCCATGTCCGGCACAAAAGCCCATTCAAAAAATACTATCCCCGGCTTGCAGCTGTCCTCGGGAAAGAAGGGGACTTCCGCAGCCTCGCATCACGTAAAACTGATAGCAGGCTCTCTGTGTTGCCCCGTTCATACTATAGATAGGGCTTGCGGCAGGGCAGTGCACTCAAAAAAATCGGCTTAGCCAGAAAAAGCTTAGAAAAGGACAGCATGGGCATTTTAAAATTACCTAGAAAATTATTCTTGATATGAAAGTGTAAGTCCGTTAAATAGGCCAAAATAAAAACGTAATTTTTACCTTGAAAATAAGTCGGTAATGTAAGCTAAATTGTATATTACTTTTTTCCATAACACACATTGTTTCTATGCATAATTAAGTATAAGAATATACTATTCAGAACTTAAAAAGGCAAAACCCAAAAAAAATTGTTTTTAAAATGAATTATTTATATTTAAGCTCTAAAATATCATCTAAATCAATACCTAGGTATTGTAGAAAAGCCTGAGAGAAATTCTCGGATTTCATTTAAAATTAGTAACTTGTCGAGCTGAAATTTCCCCGAGTGGGCGATGCAAAACCTGCAATGACCTGTCAGCAGGACGACCACCGGGGGGTCAGCTGGGGGTGGTGGTTTTTTGGTTTTTCGGTTTTCTGGCCGGAGGACTACTCACCTCGACACGTATTTTCGCCGAGCGATAGGTGCGGTCCGCCGTATTCTGCGCCTGGCAGGTGAAGTTCGTGTTGTGGTGCTCCTTTTTGGGGGTCAGCCGCAGGACGGACTTGGCCGTAAAGCGGCGCAGATCGGGCAGCGGTATCACCGTGTACTCGATGTTATCCGTGAGTACGTTGCCCAGGCCATCAATCCAGGTAATCTGCGGGAGGGGAGGGGAGAATGCGGATTGCGGTTCACTGTTGGTTCGATTATCTGCCAAATAATGGCCAAGTATAAATCAATTTTGCGACAATATTCCTACGCGTTCCAAATATTTCATTCACAATTTCCGTGACTAACATATTGGCAATAACAAAGGATATATGAGATGGAAAGTGAAATACATTGAACATAGATAAACATTTAGAAGAGAACAAAACAAGGTGAGTTTAAAATCCCAAACACTTTTTGGATACAAATTCAAGATATTGTAAAAAGAAGAAAACCAAAATTAAAAGTAGAAGTTACTAAAACATACTAAATTCTAATTTTCTAAAAGTTCAAACATTTTTTGGATATAAATTCAAGATATTGTCAAAAGAAGAAAACCAAAATTAAAAGTAGACTTCTACTTCTACTATAAAATACTAATATGTAATTTTTGAAGAAACTTGGCCAATTAAAGGCTTATTAACTTAAAAATTATGTAAAATATATATAGGAAAATTGGTTAAAAATACAATTAAGAAGGAAAGGGAGGACACTCACCTCGGCAGCTGGCTTTCCGCCCACCGAAACGCACTCGATCTCCACCTTGCGATCCTCGGTGGCGAAGATGACGTCGCCCTGCGTGATTTTGGGCGACTCGGGCGGCACGAGGACGGTGAGTCCGGCGAAGGTGGACCGGATGGAGGGCTGTGCCTCGGGGCCGGGACTCACTTGGCACTGGTACCGCGCATCGTCGTCGAGCATCACCGGATAGATGTCCAGCGAGTAGTCGCCCTCCTCGTCGCTGCCCACCATCGCGTACCGCTCGAAGCCACTGAGGTCGCGGGAGGTGCCCAGTCCGAAGTCGTCCTTGGTCCACTGCAACGTTCCCTGTTTGTTGATCACGCGGCAGGGCAGCGTCACCCTGGCCCCCACCACCGCCGTCTGGTCCTGCGGCTCCAGCGCGAACCGCTGGTTCTGGTAGCTCGTGAACGGGGAGCTCCTCACCATCCCCATCCCCACCAAGGTGGCCAGCAGGAGCAGCTGCATCGAGTCCAGCATGTTGCTGAAACAAGGGAATAACACTCGAATTAATACACTATATAAACACTGCTTTGATTTATTACAAAAATAAATTAAATACAATACACAGAATAATGGTTAGTCTCAGCATGTTTAAGAAACTTATTTAGTTTTGGTATACATATTAATCAATTCATATAAATTAGAGTAATATATATTATAAATCTTTTAATAAATATTATTTTAAAGCAAGTACCTTTTTTTTATTTCGTTCAAGTGTTTTTCAATATGTTTAAATTGAAGCCTCATTAAATTCTACGAATGCTTGAATGTTTTTATATCCATTGAGAGATACTTCCTAAGCCGCTTGTCAAACAGGAAACTACCGACAAAGTCCTTCAATTAGCCGCGATTTGGGTGCAACAAAAGGCCGGGTGAAACCGGATTGGATTTTGGGTTGTGGGTTTTTGGTTTTTGGATTTTGGGGAAGCCTTGAGCAGGCGCCAATATAATGGGGCCCCCAAATAAAATTGTCTTTTCTTCTGGCGCACACATGTATCTATTTGTTTATTCGCTGTGCTTTTTATGCGCTTTGTTTTGCTTTGTTGCGTTTTTCGGTTTGTTTTTTATCGCGTTTCGCGTTTTGTTGAACAAATTTTTCAAGGGGGGGATACAATTGCCTCAGGGTCTTATTACTTATTATTGTTCGTTTATTGTTCGCTGTTGGCGCCCGTGTTTTTTTTTTTGTGCGGTGCTTGTACCCAGTTTTATTTTCATTCGCATTTTATTCGGTTTTATTCATGTTTTCCAAGTGCAGACAGCCGTACGTGAGCCCCGAAAACGAATTACATTCAAATTAGTCAAAGCAGGGTGCCTGGGTGGTGCAGGGTGGTGCAGAGTGGTGCACGGGGAGCCACCGCAGAAAAAGGCTTAAGCCGCGGGGTACTGCCGAAGTTTACGACAAAGACCGCCCATAAACGGGCCAAATGTGTAAAAATCTTGCGAAAATATTTCACAAAGTTCCCGGGCCAAAATGTAAAGCACAAGTATTAAAAACAGAAAAAAGGGAGCATAAAAAGTGTGGCAAGAAAAAAAAGTAATTAAGAAAATATTTAAAACTAAAATGATTAATACAAGTCTAGAAATTAGAAATAATATAACTAACATTTGTAAAAGCAAATGTATTTCCCATTAATATTGAATGGATTGAGAAAAAGTTTGTATTATTTCTTAAATTTCTGGATCTTTATTTCAATACCAATTTATGGCTTTATTAAGGTTGATTCATTGAAATCGCTTCCATCACTTGAGGTAAATTCCTTCGGCTAACCACTTATTTCCAGCCACCAAGTTTCTATCCCCACTTTCAGCTCGAGTTGCGTTTGAGGAGATTTGCCTAATAAATTGCAGCTACAGTATATGAAGCACAATCTCGACTCTAAGTACTAAACTACACTCTCCCTTTCCACTTTTCCGCTTTTCCACCTTTGTTTCCCAGCACTTTTCCAGTTCGACGTACAGGTGCCGCCTGACTTGGAATTTTCTCACGCATTTTTCCCAGTTGTTGGGCAACTATTTAACTATTTCTGTATATTCTCTTGGAGTTAAGGGTTTCTTCTATTTTCGTTTTTTATTTTCGGTTTGCTTCCGTCTGTCTAATTTCGTTTTCTTGTAGCTCGTCGCTATTATTTGTTTTTATTGCATTTATACGGAAATTGGCGCCTCAAATTAAACGAAATTATAACAGAAAATGAAACGATGGCAGAGAAGAAATCCATAAAAAAAACAAGAGAGAACGCTATAGTCGGGTGCCCCGACTATCAGATACCCGTTACTCAGGTAAAGGGAGTGCGAGGGAGATGGAGATAGAAACTTTGATCACGCATAACTTTTTAACGAATGGTCCGATTTGAAAAATTTCTTCTACATTTCGATAGGTATTGATAAACACAATAAAACTGCATTTTTACTTTTCCGAAATATTTAAATTTTTAAAATCGTATTTAAGCGATTGTGGGCGTTAAAGGGGGCGTGGCACCTTTTTGAAACAAACTTGCGCTGCGTAGGAACTCCTAGAATCTGCATGCAAAATGCCAATCTTCTAGCTTTTATAGTTTCCGAGATCTCAGCGTTCATACGGACAGACAGACAGACAGACGGACAGACAGACGGACAGACGGACAGACGGACAGACGGACAGACGGACATGGCTATATCGACTCGGCTAGTGACCCTGATCAAGAATATATATACTTTATAGGGTCGGAAACGCTTCCTTCTAGCTGTTACATACTTTTGCACGAATACAATATACCCTTTTACTCTACGAGTAACGGGTATAATAACCCAAAAAAGATGCAAACGGAGGCAAAAGATTAGCGGGCTTCCGTTTGAACAAAAAATAGAAAAGACAAAACGGAATGGTTAGAAATCCGAGGGCAGGGCTTGGAAATTACTCAAAATTAGAGTTGTATCCGAAAAGAGAAAAAAAAACCCGAAATCCAAAATCCACTGGAGGCTGTGGGAGAAACTACACACGATGGAAATCTCGAAATCATCACCGACTTCCAAGCTGAAGATGATAATACTGCGTTTGCTAAGCCAATTAAAACCGATTTTAGACACGCTAGCAGAGAGTTTTTTTCTTTTTTTTTTGAGGCCCTGCCTTTTATGGCCGATAAAGATTCGGTTTCATCTGTTTTAAGATTTCGGTTTTTGGGAGAAAAGCGAGGTAAAAGAGTGTTGATGGCCTGCGTATCGATGGTGGAAATTGACTTTATTGCCCTGCAAGAATTTATGGGAAAACCTGGATGGCAACGGACTATTGATTAATTTTATATATTCTTTATGTTAGCATATATTTCTTATTAGTAAAAGCAGCGAGGGAAGTGACCTAGTTAGAAAAAAATTTTATTTTATAGTCATGATACAATTTCTGTATTTAAAAAAATGTTAAAAAATATCTAAGGGAAAATACTCAAATATGAAGCTGTCTTTAAATATTCTTTTCCAGTTTCTAGAACATCTTTCCTTCTTTCTATCATCTCAATGCTGTTTTGATCATGTTTTCCTCTTGAAATTCTTTCACATTTTGGCTTTTTTAATTTGTTTTCTCCATTTCGCTGTCACTGTCTCGATATCCAGGGCATGTCATACACGAAAACTGCTCCGAATCTCCACCCGGAAAAGTGTGGGTGGTGCAGGGGGTGGTGGGTGGTGTGTGGGTGGCATGGATGGTGGTTGGCCAACAATACAAATCACTCCACTCATTGGCCAAGTCCGAGACTTAACAGTAGCAGCTGCCATCTGGTTGGAAAGTGCCTGGGCATCTCTCTCTCTCCCTCTCTCTCTTTCCCCTCGGAAAACTAAAGCTCAAGTGGGGCGCCATTGCCCCTCTGACCCCCCTTGCATTTGCCCACCCCCTTCCCTGGCGCCCACCTGCCGAAAAACTTTTGCAAGAGAAAGAGGCAAGGCGAGTGTTCAATATAAATTTTTCAAAGTTATTTGTACCAGGTGGGCCTTTCTTTATTGATTTATGAGAGCCACTTCGACGTGCTTAGAAGGAGCAGCCGTAGAAACTTCAGGGGCGTCGGAAAAAGGGTGGGGAATGGAAAAGGGGGGAGGGGCAGCGGGCAGATAAACCGTAAATGACAAAAGTCTCGAAGGAAGCCGCACATCCGCTGCAGCTTGCATCTAATAACCGAAGCGAACTGGCGATAATAATGCGATCGTGGAAACTGGTTTACGTTTTTTACACTGGCCAACAAGGAAAAATAAGAACAATTAGCGCCGACAGGGATGCTTAAGTCGATCTTATATTAAAATTATTAAATATGTATTATAGATTTTTGATTTAATATGGGATTTAATGGAATATGATGACTTTAACCAGAATTTTTAACCAAGCCAATAAAAATATACATAGTTATTAATATGTTAATGTTTTAAGTTACTTATGAAAAATTCAACAAAATTGAGTTTGACGTTTGATTGGTAATTGATTAATGATTGATTAATGACCAAGAAAATAATCTAGATTACTCGTTTGACTTATTGAACAACATTAGATTTAATTCTTTTATTTCGTATTCAATCTGCTATTAAAGATTTTATAAGATTACATATTTTTGATTTCTCATTCTTAAATGCTTGCTATTCCGACTTGCAATCTTTTGTTTGTATTATTTGGGGAGACTTTGCCACCTTTTACATATATTTTCATTCGGTTTGGATTGTTGTGGCTATTTTAATATTTCTGCAAATCAGTTAACCCTTTTTTCTCGCTCTGGGCTGACAACTTGATCTCGGGCGTCGTCTTAGCACCTGTTCCCCCGATTCCAGTTGCAAGTTGCAACTATAAATATCACAACAGATGCTTGGGCTGTGGCATTAAAGGATGCTGGATGTTGGCCGTTGGACGCTGGCTAAGTGCAGCTGCATCTTGTGGTCATCGGCAGAGGTGGCCAGGGGCGTTGGCAAACGGGGAGGGGGAGGGGGATTGTAAGAAAGGGGGGGCCCGAAAGGCAGCTGCAGAAAGGAAGCCCGATGGCCGGGGAAGTTGCTGCCAATTTCCAACTGGAAACCGGCAACTGGCAACTTGCAACTGGCAACTTGCAACTGGCGACTTGCAACTGGCGACTTCCAACTGCCGACTGCCGACTGACTGACAAAACAGGCACCACATCTCCCCATATAGTGCGGCATATCGATTGGATTGGATTGGTTCGGATCGGAGGGCCGGGGAGTCGAGATTTATGTGTGATAAGCGTCGCCTGAAAATAATTACTGTATCTCTTTGCTGCCGGAGAGCTGCGAAAATTGAAAACTGGAGCGGAAAGCGTTCGCAGCGGAAATGTTTTTCTTGCCATCGCAGTTTTCTGTTTGCCAGTGATTGGCAGCGTGGGGTTAAGAGCGAGTGGGGGGTTAAGTCCCAGATTGTGGCATCGAAATCGGACGAATTATCTTCGCGAATGGTGTGGCAATCGGATTTTGTCTGCCTGCCGACCGAATAAGATTTTCAGCGATCTGCTGGGAATGAAATTGTGCGAAAAAAGCACAAAAATTCAATTGAGTCTTTCGAGTTTTTTTTTTTTTTTTTTTTTTTTTCAATCTCAAAATAGCTGCTTGCAAACGCAGAAAAAGTTTTTAAATGGAAATGGAAAAGTAAAATAAAAGTTATTATACTATATGATGTCAAACAAATACTTTTAATATTTTATTATTTTTCAGTTAAAAATAATTAAGAAATAAAATGCTACTTAAAAAGGTACAGTCTCGGAAAAGCTTCTACATTTAATATAGATAATTTCAAAAGTGGCGATGGTTTAAAACATTGTAGGATGCAAATCAAAATAGAAAGCACATAAGGAAAGCGTTATATGTCTTAAAAGGCAACTGTATTCGTCGTAAAATAAGTGAGTTTGTGGCACACATCCTTTGGCTTTCTGTTTGCCTGAGTAAGCTGTCCCAGCAGCCTGCAAGTTTGCCAAAACAAACCGAAAACTCAACTTTAACTGTCAGTTAAAGTGTCGACTGTACTTGAGGACGCCTCCATCTGTCTCTGTCGCACCTTGCCCCCTCTCTGTCGCACACACATGCAAGTGCCCTTAGGGACCGGTTAACCCTTCACCAACAAACAAAAAAAAAAAATCCAGAAGGAAGGCAAAAAAAGAAAGCTCGGCCAAAGGAAGGCTACTTAAAGGACTTTTGCTGACAAAATGGAAAAGGCAACAAGCGGAAGGGAAAAGGGAAACGGAAAAAGGGACTGGGATCGGGATCGGGGAGAACCGGAAAAGGCATCAAGGATATTGGTCGGGGTCCAGGGTTCAGCAGAGATTAGGACAATTAAAAAAGGGAATGCTTAACAATTAAAATCAATTTGTGCGTATGTCTGTGTGGGTTCCTCCCCTTTCTCCCCTTTCTCCCCCTGCTTTCTCCTTTCTCCTTTCTTTGTTTGCTCGAACAAATCAACTAAAAGGCAACGGCTAAGTGGCAAAAGGAGAAATCCGGGGCAAAGTCAAAGTCAAAGGATGGTGACTGGCCGGGATTCAATTGACCCTCTCCCTCTCCTTTCCCGTCCATCCGTCTGCTCCGATTGCCAGACAAATGTGTGTCCTGGGGCAAAACTGGATCTGGAGCACTAGGATCTGGATCTGGATCTGGGCGCCCCATTCCACCATGTCAATAAAAAGGCAACGGGCAAAAAATAAACTTAAATCGCCTATTAATGGGCCACACACCAGAAGTTTTTGGCCAAAGTCAGCACAACGCTTAACGCAACAGTAAACGCAGGCTAAAAAGGTCATCGCTCATCCCTGATAATTATCAGTAGGGTTTTGAGTTGGCAGAAGCGAAGCGTAAAGTGACTTTTAAGAAAGTGACAACCAGTGCTGTTCACTGCTTTAAGTTGACAGTCTTGAACAGTGCTAGGTACATTAATAATTGAAAAGTTATATAATAGAAAGGACCCAACCACCAAACTTATAACTTTATAAGGTGAGTCTTAATAGGCCTTAGAACTTTACCACACTGATCCTAAGACCTCAGTGTTGTGTTTGTGATCAACCAGTGTTGCCTAGCAATAAATCATACACAAAAGTCAACAATGTCTTAGGCAATAAACTCCCCTAGATCAATAGACCCGAAGACCCGAATCGAAACTTGAAGCCAGATCAGATTTCGTAACACTAATCGAATGAACCCGAGACTCCGTCTTGCCTTAATATAATTACCAACTGCAGCTCACCCAGAAGAACGAGTTAAGTTATTCATCAATTCTTCAAGCTGCGCGGGGATAATATCAGGCGAGGGGGGTGGAAAACTTGTTAGCCGTGTATAATTAATATAATCTCGGCTCGATCGGACTCTCATTAGCATAATTCTAACATAATTCCTGACATGGTCAGGCATAAAATTATGAAACGAACTCACAGCAGCCGAAACTCCAAATAAAATCATAAGAAAGAGATATACACAGGCATACGATATATATACATAGATATATATATAAAGGAGATGGGCTTGGGGAATGGAGCAGAGCGAATGAAAGTTGCTTGGCCACATCGAAGCAGAATTTCAATCAGTAAATTGAACACCTGAACTTAACTGATTTCGTGGTTGCTTTTTGTTGTTTTTTTTTATGCTCTTTTGTGTGTGTGGTTATATTATTTCGATTTTTTTTTTTTCGGCTGACTGGAAAGGGGAGAAGCTGCGAAGAAGCAAAACAAGTTGAAGTCGAGCAGCAGGAAATTAAGCCAGGCCAAGAAAGACACTGCAACAATGACAAGCCGGGGGAAGCCAGCTGGCTTCGACTTGGGTTTAGTCGGGGCTTTCGGCTTTTGGTTCAGTTTTGGGCTCCCCAGCGACCGCAGCAGCTTCTCCACTTTACGTTTAGCATTTTTTTCAAATTCATGTTTATGGTTTTGTATTACAAGTGATCGCAGTCAGCCGGCCAGCCAGTCAAGATTTGTATAACTTTAAGCCTTATTAACATATTTTATGCTCCATTCGAGTTCCATTCCAAGTCCAAGTTCGCCCACACACCGACATTTTTCTTCATTTCGTTTTATTTCTCTCCGTTTTCGTGTGGGCCGCCACTTTGACATAGATCGATCCAATCCGAACCCCCAAATAAAATAAAAATAACGAAAACCCACCAGAGAAGCCCATGCGATGCGATTGGCAAAGAGTGAAAAATGATTTCGAAAGCGGCACTTGACCAGACAGTATTTGAGTAGACGTCAGATGGTAAACATAGATATTTCTGGGCGACTTAGTGTGTGGATTTTCAGCCACTCTTGGATGGTCATTGGTTTTTAATAAGTCTATATTTTTATGAAATTTCAGATCGAACACTCAGCTGGAACTTGAGTTACTCTGGGCCAGCAAAAGATCCCTAGTAAGAATTTTCCTGAAATCAATACATTTTAAATCGCACTAATAATTTATCAATAAACACAGTCTTAGTCATAAAACTTTCTCGGAGGTTTTTATATTGGTTATGGATGTTATATTAATTTATATGTATACTCAACTTACTGTGTTAACCAAGTCAATATACCAAATTTCCCCAAAAAACCCAGGCAGCAACTTCAGTTCCTTGAGGCAACTTTCTAAGGCCAAGTGACAATTACCCCTATCTTCACGCACTTGTAAGTGTACCATCTAACTAAACACCATACCACGTTTCATTGAACAAACTCCACTGCAAGTCGCGTTCCCATAGGCAATGTTTCCATTTCAAATTATCATCCACAACGACAATTGGCCGGCCAAGAAAGTAAAAAAACAAAATAAGAAAAAGAATCGGTGAAACCCTCACCTGACAGCTGTCACTGTTTCGAGGTACCTGTCCAGAGGTACCAGAAACCCAACCGAACCCAAAAAATAAACAATCTCCGCCTGGCTACCTCATCTCGGGCTTATTCTTTTGTCCGGCCGTCAGTATCCCCCATTTCCTTCGCCCCATGCAGCTAATTGAGTTATATCCCCACCACATGACATTGCAGGCCCCGAAAAAAAAGTGGAAAATAAAGCGGAAAGCGATTGAGAGACGAAACCTATTTTAAATCGTCCCAAAAACCAAAAGGGAGACTCCACACAAATACGAATCAATTCAATAAATAAGAGCGGGACCCTTCCCATACAGGTTATCCCCCCCGTTCCCCCCTCTCTCTGGAAATACAAACGTGTTAGAAAAGAGCAGTAGAGATACAGATATATATATACTGATGCAGATCCAGATGCAGATGCAGAGATACTGGGACATTCGCCGATATACCGATTCGACCCACTCGTGGATGTCAGTTTTTCTTTCGCTGGCTTTTCCATTTGATTGCCTCGTGGTCGAGCGTTACTCGGGTGGGTGGCATGTCTATCTATCTGTATATATGTACATATGTATATCCCAGTTACGTGGTGGTTGCACCACACTGTGACAACAAAAGGTACAACGAGAACAACGGGCAACGACAACGACAACTTCAACTGGCGACACCTTCGGTCGCTTGCGTCTAACTAAATCCGATTATAACTAATTATTATGGACGCCGAGCCCGATTCCAATTCCAATACCGAATCCGAATCCGAGTCCGAACCTGAACCCGAGACGGCAAATAGATAAAATGAAGGGGGTTACGAGGGGCCAGGGTTGCCACACTATTTGCGGGCTTGGCGTGGGCCATTCTTTTTGTACCTCCATCTCACTGCTCATTGTATTTCTTGGCTTTACTTTATTATTCTCCTCTTTTTGAGGTTGCGACTTGAGTTGGGTTTTTGTTATGGCCATTGTGTAATGTCAGTCATGTGTCCATATCAAAGTTGTTCAAACATGTAGGTATATATTTAAGTAAGTGTCTAAGCAAAGGGAATCTTTAAAGTTCATTGTAAGCAAATGGAAACAAATATTGCTATTATAAATTATATGTTATTATATATATATATCTTGTATTCATGATTAAGTTTCAGCACTTTTTTCTTACTTTTCCGACTCACCTTAAACACCTTTTTAATGAAAGAGAACACAAGTCTCGAGTGTCACTTTCACACTTTTCTTTTCTGCCCTCCTTTCTTTGCTGTTTGTCTTCGGGCTCTCAGATCTGCAAAAAAAAAAAGGAAAAAGGGGAAAAGGGAAAAGAAAAACATAAGTAAGATTATTAATTCAATTCTTGTTCTTGTGCTGCTTCATTTGTTTGCCTCTGTACGTATTAATTGTTGCTGCTAATGTTTCTGTTTCTGTTGGCCCTAACGTTGTTCGTCTTCATCTTGGCCATAAACACGCACAGGCCGTGTTTGGCAGCGACGGGCTTCCGCATTCATTGCCCTTTTATAGGGCACAAAATGTTTATTAGACATTATGTACCCGCAGTCCCACGCAGTTTCTACTCTCATCCTGGCCGAAAAACTAGCAGGGAATCACGCATTTTTCGCATAAAAAGTCAACAATCGACGTTTTTATGCAACGTTGTGTGTGTGTGTGTGTGTGTGCGACAGTCCTTTTCTACTTAATTTTCTATTATGATCTTTGGTAATTGTTGCAATGAAAATTTATTGCTGGAAATATTGACACAGGGGTTGGTCGGAAGCAGCAGCCATTTGTTAATGAAAGTTCTCGAATGAAATGAGATTATTGGGGAAAGTTTAGTAGAACTGCTCTAAGTAAATTATGAAGTCCCCTTAAATCCACTATCTATGTTAAATCAATAATTGAGTTAACTATTTTACTGAACAATTGAGTCACATAGTATACAATTTAGGGCTATAAATTTTTGGGAATGAAAACATATTAAATCAAGGATGTTATTCCCAATATTTTCGACTGGCATGCAAAGACGCCAAACAAATTGAAAAATTGGTGCCTGCATTAGGGGGCTGTTGCAATCCTTTCGCTTATGCCGCAGTCCTGTAAATGTAACCACAGATAACGGGGCACGCCCATCCCCAAAAGCCAACCAACCGCCCCCCTCCCCCTTCCCTTGCATTCTAACCCCCTTTTTAGCCCCGCTCCGTGACATTTTTACCCCCTTTTTAGTTTGATAAAGCGACGGACATGATTCATGGAGGGTTCCGTTGGCTATGCTCTCGATTATATCCTTGCATGCCTAAGGTTTTCAAAGGGGGCAGGGGGGCAAAGGGGCGGAGGGCGAAACCCCCTTTTCAGGGGCGGAGGTACACAAACACAGACGGAACATGCAATACAATACAAATAAATACACAAAAATGAAAAAGTACAAAACGTGTGTGGCACGAAAGCCGAATCAGGCGATTGTCTCTCTGTTTTTATACCCTTGCAGAGGGTATTATAATTTTGGTCAAAAGTGTGCAACGCAGTGAAGGAGACATCTCCGACCCTATAAAGTATATATATTCTTGATCAGGATCACCTCCTGAGTTGATATAGCCATGTCCGTCTGTCCGTCTGTCTGTCTGTCTGTTTCTACGCGAACTAGTCTCTCAGTTTTAAAGCTATCGAATTGAAACTTTGCACACACCCTTCTTTCCTTTGCACGCAGTATATAAGTCGGAACGGCCGGGATCGGCCGACTATATCCTATAGCAGCCATATAACTGAACGATTGGAAATGCCATAACTTTGGTGTTTTTAAAGTTAGGAAGTTGGGATTTTTGATGAGCATTAAGAATGCCTCATATGAATAATTTTGGAGAATATAATTTACAGAGTATTCTGCAAGGGTATATCAACTTCGGCTCCGCCCGAAGTTAGCTTTCCTTTCTTGTTTTTTATATTTCTTTTTTATTTTTGATGGGTGGTGGGGGGGGAGGTGGTTTTTTTTTGGGTGGTGTCCTGGCTTTGAACGCACTTCAGGACGCAGACAGGACAGCTGGAACGGAGCTGAATGTGGCAACAAGCGTTAAGTGGTTGCCTGTTTGTCGCTCGTGTACTTGGAAATGTTTTACAAATTCAGCAGCGTGGATAAAAAATGGAAATAAATAGGGGGAATATCGAGAAATCCAGCTGTGGGTTGTGACTGGGGGGCGGGGGGCGGTGAAACCACCCCGTCAGCTGTTTTTCGTAGACCAAAGTCAGCTGCTAATCCTCTGCGGGGGTGTCCTGCCAGATGACGATGACTCACAGTGCGACGGGGTGACTGTGACTGCGATTCCTTATTTTCGGTGGTTGTCCAAAAAAAAAAACAACAGGAAAAAAGAAATAAAATCGAAACTTAAACTAGAGCAGCCGCGGGGGTGGTTGCATAATGACTCATAGTCCCAGCCAGATGAATTATTTATTAGAAGTTTCCGCTATAGTATCCCTTTCACCCACTGCTGAGTAAGCACAAAATTATGCTAGAATTTATGTTTTAGTGTCAAAAGTTCAAGAAACCCAGGGAGCAATCGATATTTTCTATTGATTGTTGGACTTTTATCTGCCCAAAGTAATTAGCAGAACAAATAAAATGTATTTAAATATATATTCTTCAACATAAGTCACACTCTATTATTTAGTTTTAAATGGTTTATTTGTTTTTCTATAAAAATACCCTGCTTTAAGTATAGATAATGAATTTTCAGCCATTCTCACTCCCTGAACAACTCACTAAACTGTTAATTTCAACCATTTTAATTGTTATTCGAAGCGACTGGGCATTTTCCCGACTGGATTTTCCCAAGATCCCGGCCAAAGTCCGCTCCCATTCCTTGACCAGCCTTTAATCATCGCTCCGGCATTTCCATCTCGGGGACCACAAGTATTTCACATGATAGTTTCCCTTGCCAGCCATGGGCCCCCACCTCAAAGCGTTTGTCCAAAGTTTTCTGGGCTTATCTAAATGCCATTTTATTCCGGCTGCTTCTTGGCTTGTTCTTGTTTATCTTGCAGATACATCTCTGCGAGGATGGGAACATTCTGCGGTCAGAAGTTGTCAGTTGATAAAAATACCCGGGCAGAGTCAGCGATAGCTCGAAATCCACTTTGGCTAAATGTAAATATTAAATTTGCGCATAAAAATAATACGGCAAAGAGAACGTAGAGTGTGGAACGTTGAGTAGATAGAGATAGCCAGTCGGGCCGGCAACTAAAGTGAATTCACAAAGGAAAAGGAGAGCCATAAAAAGCTGACTGCGGCAGGACTATGAAGTGCCAGTGGAGGCTAAGGTCCTGGACTCGAATTCTCAATTGACGCGCCACGTCCTCGAAGGCAAAAAAGATACATATATCCAGATACGGATTGCGGGGCGTGGGGAAAGGGGGAGAGGGTAGAGGGTAGAGGGGAGAGAGGAGACTCCACGGACGACTCCATAATAATTTTATGCGCTTCCAAAAAACTTCCGTTCAGTCATTGCGTTGTGTTTCCGCCCAGAAGTCGGAGACGAAGACATCGCACATGGTTACTTCTTTTCTCGTCTGAGATGGCATCGTGAATAGGTCACGAAAGTCAAGAAATATATACAGAATATGAGCCTAACCCGATCTATTGGAAATTATATTACAATCTAGTTCAGTTCTGAATAGTAGGAATGTAAATGAGAAGGCCTAAAGAATTCGCGTTTACTTCTTTCTTTGTTTTCTTTGAGAAAATACTACATAATGTAATGAAGGTAATTGATCAATGGTTAAGTTTAATAAAACTCGATTAAATTGATAAAGTTTCAGGAGCTGTGCTATATATTTAATTGAACAAAAGTATCGGTAAAATCCATGTTGAAAGATGCTGAAGAATTCGCGATTTCTTAGAAAATTAACAATGAGCTTGATTCGTAAGTAAATAAGTTTTAAAATGTCATCACGCTGGCATCTCTAGATATTTTTCACGTTGTTGGCCAAATTGCCATAGAAATTTCGTAGGTTCCCGGGCGCTTCTTGTATTTTTTTGCGACTGCCTCGCTTTTCCTTTATGTTTCCCGTTCGCCGGCTCCCTTGCTTGATTTTTCCCCTTCCGCGGGGTGGCTTTTGGGTGGTTTCTTTTTTTAGGAGGTTCTCTGAGTGCTGGCTGAATGAATGAGCCGGCGAGCGAATGAATGAATGAATGAATGTTCAACTGTCACTTCCGTCAGACGGGCCAAGCGGAGTCAGGCCAAGAAAAGGAAACCCGCACCACCCACACGTCGGGAGAAAGTGGGTGAAAGGGGGTGGTGAAAGGCGGTGAAGTGGGGGGGGGCGACAACGCGTCAACATTGTTGGGGAAAATGCGGGGGCCAAACGAGTAATGACATATTCAAACGCAGCGCGAACTTGACGACGCCCCAAAGGAGTGAAGATGTTCTACACCAAGAAGACGCTTAGCGGGGAAAATCGGTGGTGAGGAGGGGGGGGGAATGGTGGGGAAAACCAAGGGGGAAATGTGCACAAGAAGCGTTGCCAGACATTCTGACAAAGCTGGCGACAAGGACGTACACTTGTAATAACACGAAAAGGATATTGTAAAACATTTTCATAAGTTCTCTCAATTTCTGAGCGCTTTTTTCTTCCAGCTCGCGTCGCGTTCAATTGCTGATGAAAATGGTCCTTGGAGGGAGCAAATCTAGGGACTTGGCAAAGGACCAAAGCAAGTACTGTGGATAAAATTAATTAGTGCTAAGGATCACGTTAAATGTGAAGCTTGTGAGGTATTAAATATTTCTAATTTCAGTGGAATGATGATAATTAACCAAGAAACTGTCGAGGGTAAATGTCACTCATCACTTTTAATATTTTGTAAAAAAAATATAAAATTAGCTAATCAAACCACATTTTCGATTACATTAGAAATCTCTAAATAATATCAAATATTTCATTTTATTATCTGCTTAGATAAGACTTACATTGTACTATGTTTTGGGTTCACCCCAAATAAAATTTAATTAGGCCTGAAATAAAATTCATCTTCCCATTTCAGACACTTTTATTCATCTACCCCCTGGAAATTCTCCCTTTTTGGGCCATATGGCATACATTTGTCGACTCCGTCTACTTATTCCAACTATTGTCCGACAATAAGGAAATTTTATGCCCATTTGAGCTCGGTCCTTGGCTATTTTTTCCCCCTGCAAATCACCCTCTTTCAATTTTGGACTAATTTGATGTTTGTCCCCATTTGAGATTCGAATTTCTTCGGTCTTTTCTCCTCCTTTTTTCTTCTGGGCCGTCTGCCAACCACCGAAAAGTCAAGGGAATGAAATCACACATGGCCGCCCGTTTCCCAATTTAACCCCCACTCAGGGGGGGGGTGGGGGGGGGGAGAGGAGGTTACCCAAAGGCCCCTGCAATTTTTTTTCCACCCCCCTTGCTGACTCTTCAAGGCGATGGCACACTTCAGTTTCCCTGCATTTCCACTCTGGATCCAACTTTTCCCATCAATGACTATTAATTGGCATTCTCGATGGTTGGAGGGGGTGGGGTGCTGAGTTCATGGCCGGGGGTGGGCCAACCCCCTATCTCCCCCCCCCACTCCCTGCATGCTTCACTTGCATTAAGGCGGCGCCATTAAAGCTCATCAAAAATGCAGGCCAAAGTGGCGCACTTTAAAAATGCCGCCTCTCATAGATTTTCATTTTCCATTTCCATTTTGCCCCCACCCTCAAAAGTAGAGTGCTATGTTTTTGGGGTCAGAACACCCCCACCCCTCCCATAGACCCCCACCATTCCCTCCTAATGATGATGGCTTGACAAATATTTATTGCTTAAGCATTTGAGTGCAAATATTTTAATTAGTCTGGCGACAAGACAACAGATCTGTAGATGGAAATATAGATGGAAATGGAGCTGGATTCCGAATACTGAATTCCGGATTCTGGGCCCGTTTCTCAACGCTGATGAGGCTTAATGAACTGCAAAGCGGCTCTCAATTGTCTTCAATTAACCAAATTAACCAAGGGATAAATTGTTTGCCTTTCAATGCCCTCCGTAGCTTTTCTTTTTAAACGAGATGAGAAATTAGCTGGCAGGGACAGAGATGAAGATGCCAATCCCATGCAATAAATATTTTCTTTCTTTTCCTAAATACATTTGTTTAGTTATTTTGATAGTAATAACAATAGCTTATAATTTATCTGTATTTCGATGTCATTTATGGTCTAAAAACATTTTATAGACTTTTCTTAAAACAAATTGGTGTTCAAAACTAAAATAAAGTTGGAAAGGAATACAGTTTCCTGAAACATTTTGGGGTAGACTTTGCTATTAATGAGCTATATTAAATGCCAAATTCTAAAATAGCTCAGAATCTCATTAAGCGAAAAACTTTCCTTAACCCACTGAGGCCGGGGACGAAAAGGGGGCAAAGAGATGAGTGAAGCAGTCAAATCAGTGGAAACGATACGGCAGAAACTGTCAAAAAGTCTGACAGCTCCGCTCTCAAGGTGAATCAGGAGGGCCAGCAGGGGGTTAAAGGTGGTTAGGAGGGTTAAGGGGGCTAAGGGGGTGCCGAACATAATTTGTGGCATGCAAAGAACTAACAAAGCGACAGGCAGGGAAAAAAATACTGCAAAATCGCAGGGCGAAATTGAAAAGGAAAAATAAGTTTCGACATGCTGACGAGGACGCGTCAAAACGATCCAACAAATGCGGCCTCGCCAATCGATAACACAGCAAAAAAAATGCAACAACAAAGTACAGGAAAAATGAGGCAACAACAACTTGCGACATGAGCATGTTGCACTTCCTGCCACGCCCCCCCACATCGTCCCTGAACGCCCCTTTTTGAGCCTGCTATACCCCCCGTTCCCCATTTTCCTGTCGATTGTTTCAGACGTTTTTAGCAATTTGCAATGCCAGCAAATTGGGCCAAATTATAAAATCAAAAACTGCACACACACACTCTCAAATACACAGAGCAAAAACTTTGTTGATTTCAGTACTTAAACTTAAGTTAAAGACCAGCATATACAATCAAACTTTTTATAAAAATTTGAGGCCTTTAGATATTTTAATTTATGTATTGTTTATTGTTTTATTGCTTTAATCTTTAAGTAATAAAAAACCAAAAGTAATATTTGGAAGTTAAGATCATTAAACTTAAAAAACTAGAGATCAGTTTAAAGTATATTTTTATTTAAGTCATAGGACACAATATTGTTTTCTGTGTATATATACCACATATATGGAGCAAGAGGAAACAGCAGCATAAGTAAAAGGTTAGCTTGGCAGAGAAGAAGCTGCTGACGATTGAAACTTTGCTTGCTTTTTTAATGACAAGGGACAGGTGCGTGAGCCTTAAGATATATATACGTATGCATCTGTATTTGTGTGTGTGAGTATCTGTGTGTGATGCGTGAAGCTTCTGGGCCTGCAGCTTCTTCAACTCGCATCTGTGTCTTTAGCACCGAAGCTGCCAGCTACATTTTCTCGATTCACAGCTGGAGGCATCGTATTTCTTAGTTACACAGAAAAAAAAATGTTCAAAAGACAATAAACTAAATAGATAAATTAAAATGAAGTATCGAATTTGTAGACTTGACTTAAGAAATATATAAATTACAACAAATTTAAATATAAATGCATGGCTAAAGTCATTTAATAAAATCACTGTTCAAGAATGACATATAAATACCCAAATGTGAAGAAGTATCATAAAATAAAATACTCCTTTGATTTAAATTGGATATAATTTAGATAAGAGCTCGAGGTTAAATTTTTAAATTCATTATTAATGATTCAATTTAACTGTGACTTTTTGCTAACGCTTAGCATATTTGTTTAACTTAGCTGTGAATATAACATTTATTTTCTGTATACATTTTAGGAAAATTAAAGTCTCATATAAAATACATTATCTCTTTTGTCTGCTCACACCGTGAATTTACATATTAGTTTATAAAAAGTTATACTTATTTACATGAAATACCAAATCTTATTATTTCAGTGCAGGAAAACATTTTTTTCTTCTCGCATATATTACACGTTTTTTTTTAATTTTAAACTCAAATACTTAAGGAATGCTAATCGTTCTCTTGTTTATTACTTCTTGTGTCTTCAACTTTTTTGTTTGAAAGTAATCATAAATCATGCAAAACCAAGGAAAGACAAAGATCGAATCAGTTAAGCAGAGCACTTTTTTTCTGAAGATGCTCTCGGTTGAAATGGTCAGAAGAAGTTAATTAGGTGGCCAAGGTGAAGAAGAAAATCTATTACTGAAGAGGGAAAAGTAGATCTTCAATTGGTGTTAAGACTATAGTCGTTCAATACGTATATGAATAAACAATGAGAAAAAAATTCTTTAGATTAGAAATTTACGCCGACGATTTTTTTTATTTACTAAAATACTAGTTTAGTTAATTTCAAAATAATTGTTTACGCAAACACTTTTTTTTTCATATTTCTTAAAAAAGGGGTCAAATTAAATAGGTTGCCTTTTTAATTTTCCAATTAACATATATTGTTATATTCTGACCTCAAGACTTACATTTTTTAAGAAATGTATAAAGTTGGCAAAAAATATTTTTCCTACAAAAATCATCAACATTTTTTCTATTGTTCTTTTAGTTTAAGAATAGAATGAAGATAAGTTAAATACTATCCACTGAAAACCTATTTTTTATTCAGGTTTTCCAGCTTTGCCTTGATTCCAACACGAAAACTCCTATTTTCCCTGACCGAAACACACACCAAGAAAAACACTTGTAACCAAAATGTCAAAGTGGCCAAAACCGAAACTTTTGAGGGGCGGAGACTTTGGGCAGCTGTATTTTATAAACAATATCAAGCGAAAAGGTCAAAGTGAGGGAGCAGCTGTTGCAGTTGGCACACAAAAAAAATCACCATCACAAAGCGGTTTTCTTGGGACTTAACTTGTATTTTATTTATTTTTTACTCACACTTTTTTGTATATTTTGCTCGGGCTCCTTAGTCCTATTTGCAGTGTATATATTTTTATCTGCTTCCGAATTTTCACAGGCACTAATCCATAATCGTTGTGTGACAATTTCTAGCTTGTTTGGTTTTATTTGGGCCTTGTTTTTATTTATATTTAATAGCCTTGTTTAATCCATTTTTAGCACTCACTTTTCCACTGGTAATCCACACCAAAGTATACTTTTTTGGCTTGCGTTTTGCACCAAAAAAAAAAAATAGTTTTTGAATAGATTTCGGGTTTGTTTATGTTTTATTGAGAGTCTGGGGTTTTTCCTCGGGCGAATTCGAATTCTCGTCTTCGGGTCTCGAGAAAGTATCTGTGAGATACTGAGTGTCGGAGTTTCGGAGTTTCCGCCGCTACGAAGCGAACGGGGCGAGCGAACGGAACGAAGTGCGAGCTCGATCCGAAAATCTGACTTCTTTGGCCACGCCGGTTTTCCTCGAACAAAACAAAGCGACGCAACATGTTCGCTGGGGTTGCAAGCCCTGTTTTCCTCAGTTAACAGTGCGCAACAGGGCGAACAGCGCGGTTCGATGCAACCGCTGTTATATATTTATATTTTCGTTATTTAAATACATTTTTAGGCTAGAGTATTTTAAATTTGAAACCAAATTGAACTCATGTTTTAGATGCATAAACAAGATAAGCAGATTATAATAAGTAAAAAAAAACCATTTTGTTACCAATCTTTTTACTTATTGAAATGTTTCAGCCTATTTTCTGCAGCCCAAAACTATCGCCGATTTTTCCTCAAAAACAAAATAAATAAATATTTTTCATTGAGCAATTTTTAGTAAACAGAAGAATGCGGAATTTAAACATTTAACCTTATGAATTAAACTTTTTTTAACGATCAGTGTTACAAAATTACAAAGCGGATCGGTTTTTTTCTGTGCAAGCAATTTTGGGGATACCGCTGGCCAAGTTCCTCTTTTTTTGGCCATCTGCCTCTTGGCCTCACCCTAATTGCCCTCTGATTTGCTGTTAGCAGCGCCACCTTCCGCCGAAAGTGTGGACCACCAACTGTTGCCGGAGAAGATTAAAAAAAAATTAAATAAAAATAAACCTTTTTAGAGCCGCAGATTGAGATAAAGTCGGAGAATTGGCCTCCGAGAGGTCAATGCTGTCGGGACAGCAGCTGTTCGCCATCTCCTTTCCTTCTTCGCACCCACAATTCTTCGGTTTTTGGTAGAAATCTGCAGTCTTTCTTCGGATTGTGGAATGCCAAAAGGGCTGAGAAGAGCGCCATATGGTCCATTTTAGCGTTTGGAGAGCAATTTGGGTAAAACTCCAAAGCTTTGATTTGACAAAACTGTGGGAGTCCTATTTCAATCACACTGAACCGAAAAAGTATATATTTCTAATAGTAAATACATATAAGAAGATCCCAATATGTAAATTTTAATAACAATCATATAATTGGGGATAAGCCATTCTGAGTTATTTGTAACAAATTCTTTTAAACCAATAATTGTAAAGCTATTAAAGAGAAATATATTCCTAAGAGAACTGTCAATTTACATAGATATTATATCTTACATTTGGAATGAGCATTAATAGTATAATAATATCGATATTGACTTCGATATATAAATAAATTCACCCGTTTGTTTGGAATTGTGATTTCAACTTTATGTTTTTGGTTGGTATTCAAAGTGTTGTTTTAATTTTAAATTTACTGATGTTATGTATACATTTAAGCATGATTAAGAATTTATAGAGCCCAGCTAAGCCGAAAATGTGGCGCTGTGGGAGCCATTTGCTGAGTGCGACTTGTTAATCAATCGACTGCATGATGGGTCGATTCTAAGATTCTCCATAATTGAATCGATACACAGGCCGCGATCCATGAGATACGCAGATAGAAAGATACAAAGATACTGGCGATGAAGATGGACTGGTGGATGGGAAGATTTCGGCACTGGAGACATGCGAAGACCAAAATAAACAAGTTTCGGGAGGAAATTTATGGCACGATTGCTGCGAACGCAATTTAAACTACGCGTGTGAGGGAGGAAAATGGAAAATGGAAAACTGGCTGGAGGAGGGCCGTGATGAAGTGTCGGCTCGGCTCTGCTCTCTTCCAATTTTCCGCTTACTTCTCCGGCTCTCTTCGCGCCTCTTTCTTTTCATTTTTTTTTTCGAGGGGGAGATTTTTCGAGCTCCGCTGATTTTCTCCGGTTCCCCAAGTAATTGTCGTGTAATTTATGGCCGCCGTATGGGAATATCAATGCAATGCGCTCTAAATTTACACAAAAACGACAGATAAAGACTGAACGCCGGATAGTTAGGGTATTTCCTCTACTCGACTTCAATATGCCCAGCCGAAAATTGTTTATAAACACCCTAACGAACAATAACAAAAAGGCTTTTTCGATAAGAAAGATCATGGCTCGGATCCCATAAATTCCAGCATCGATAGGGTTTTTTCGAATTTTGGGTGCAACAGCTTCGTAGATTGAAACACTGCATTACCAATTAAAATCGTAAATTTACACACATACTGTGTCCTTTTATATTTCAAATAGTTCCTTATCTCGAAAAGAGTTTTTTAACCTTACAAAAAATTTGTTGAGCTAATTTGTGGTCTTCAAAATGCTGTTCAATATTTTATTGAAGCACTAAAACTTCTGGAATTTGTCGTTTAGTAAACCGATATAATTGTACATAATAGGACATTAAATTTCAACTTTACTGTGTTCTTTTGTGGGCTTGTTTTGTAAGCCTGGCAATTTTATAATATAACACAGCCATTTGATTTCAATCCCTCCATTTTGGTTGACATGCTTTTAAAGGCCTTTGCCTATTTTTAGCGCAAGTAAGCCCGACAATGTCTTTAAAATCCCTTTTGAAGACAAAATCAATTTCCATAGCATCAAATCAAATCAAAAATGCTATACCTTCCGCCCTGTTTTTCCCTGTTAGTTGACAGTTTTGGCTGCTCATTAAGGTGGGGAAAAGCGGGAAAGGCTGGGGGAAAAACTCTCCATGGCAACTGCAGATGCAGACATTCGCTGCCATCCCCACTCGGATTTTCCATCATTGTTGCCAGGCTGCTAAATATAAGCACTCAGACGTGTAAGTTACAAGTCCCCTACCACCGATCCGAAGTCCATATCCCGTATTTTGTATTCCGTATTCCGTATTCCACAGCCCCCACTCCATCTGTATCTCCATCTCCATCTGTATCTCCACCTCCATCCGAGTTTGCATCTCCCGGACAGCTGTACTTTGGCACGCTTCTCCGGTCCCGATTCTCCGGGATTTGGGATTCAAGGGCAGAAAGACACCGCCAATCTCCAGAAGCGTCGGCTCCTTCCTCCGTCATCCGTCCTCCGTCCTCCGTCGTCCATCGTCCTTCCCCCGGGAGTCTCGCAGACTCCTCGAACTATTTTTGAACGTCCGGCCTTTTATTTTTTTGCACTGCGCCGTGTTCCCCTGGAAATTCCCGTGTTTTGTGCTTCCTTTTTTTTCGGGGCAGACACCCTGGAATATCAGGAGATTATCGACATACTCAATGGTTTGCTCAGTTCACCATTAAAAGGAACTTTTAAATCGGTTTTTGATTGTACAAAATGTATTTACAGGAAAACACTTAAATAATAAAAATAATTAAATTAAAATCACATTGGCTTTATCTTCTAATATTTAAATACTATTTGTTGTTGTGTATTTATTTTTGTTTGTTTTTTATAGAAACTGATTCCATAAATGGCAAACAAAAATATAAAATAGTCACCAGTAAATAGAAAATGTAATGCGCTATGAAATATAACTTAAAAAGTTAATATATAGTGTTGTGAGATTATTAACCTTTAACGATGATGCTGCCTCAAATAATATGTTGTATTTCGAGGGCATCGCAGTGATCGAATATTGCTGTGTTATCCCCACATATATACACCCCACAGTCCCCCCTCGGTACAGAGGCCAATGCCAGCGTCTCTTTTTATGTGTGTTTACTGTGAAATTTATTTTTAATTTAAACGACGCGACCTGCACCCTCCTCTTCCTAGTTTTATTTTCCCTTTTCTTTTTTCGCCTGGCTGTGGAAATAAGCCGTGGAAAGGGAAAACATTTAAACAGGATGCAGCATTTGCTGGCAGTGGGGGGGGTGGGGGAGGGGGCAGGGGCGGTGTGGAAAAGGGGGAAAATGTCCCACCCAAGTCATGCTGAAATTGCTTAAAAATTGCCAGACAGTGCAAATATGTTCCAGCCAAAGGGGCGATAAGGGGGGACACTAAAGGGGATGCTGACTCAATGGCCCCCGATCACCCCGCCCCTGAAGTTGACAGCAGCGGCAGCAACAAATAGTTTTCAGCCATCCAAAAAATAAAGTAAAGCGAAATAAAGTGAAATAAAAATATAACAAAATGCAAAGCGAAAGGGATCAAGACCCCTCCCCTCCCCTCCCCTGCCCTGCAATCCCCCCGACAACCCCCGCCCATGGCTGTCAGTCTGGGGCGCATTAAAATGCAGAATGAGGAGCATTTCATTTGCCGCCGTCGCCTGGCGAAATTCAAAATCAGCAAATTACGTGCTGGGCCAGAATGTAACTAACACTTTGCCAGTCACCCCCTCCTGCCCCCTGCTCAATTTTCCCGCTTCCCGTCCATGCCATCTCCGCTTTCCAACCCCCCCTTCTGCGCGCCTAAGACGACATGTAATTATCGTTCAAAGCGATAGTTCGCAGGGGGTGACAAAAAAAAATAAGAGCCACTGAATGGGGCCAAAAGTAAATAAGCCAAAGGTTAAGCAGTCACAGTGACTGGCGAAGTCACAGTTTTAAAACTTAAGTCTAGATATAAAATAAATGTATTAACATAAATTCCCTGAAACGTATTTTATTTATACAAATAAAATGACGTAATATTTCAAGTACATAAGAGCTGTAAATATAATTTTAGATAATTAGAAATGCAACAATTCGGGTATTTTATGAATGTCTTTGGCAGAAGTGTTTTAATATTATTTTTTCCATTCCTTTTTTGATTTTTTTGTTAAGGTTTTTCAAATAAAAATGTGATCCTTAAATTAATTTGCTCATCAAGTAAATACTTTTCCACACGACACCTTTTCTTCTTTGGCCTGTAACTTAAGAAGTATTTCTTACCAACCAGACGAAATCCCTCCCTTCGCACCAGTTAATTGAGAAATGCTCTTATTAAGGCCGGGTGAAAAGTGACTTTTTCGATTCCTGGGGGTCATTGGCAACAGCTGTTGGTGGAAATGGTGGACCGACCTTACCTCCCAGCCACCCCCACTTTTCCCACCCCCTTTCCCCCTCCATCACACCATGAAGTCTTACAGTTTCCCTCGCGAAAACTGAGGGAGGAAAACAGGCAGTGGGGAATTTTCGTGCCGTCCATTGGCCTCGCGTACGAGTGG